TAAACTATTATATACATCCCGCGGTTTGAGTAGAAGTACTATTTATATAGGGTGTGAGATGAGGTGGGGGTAGGGGTGTTGTATGGTGTATAGTTGGGTTGTGTGATATGGGGTGGGGGTAGGGGTGTTGTGTGGTGTAAAGTTGGGTTGTGTGAGATGGGGTGGGGGTAGGGGTGTTATATGGTGTATAGTTGGGTTGTGTGAGATGGGGTGGGGGTAGGGAGTATTGTATGGTGTATAGTTGGGTTGTGTGAGATGGGATGGGGGTAGGGGTGTTGTGTGGTGTATAGTTGGGTTGTGTGAGATGGGGTGGGGATAGGGGGTGTTGTGTGGTGTATAGTTGGGTTGTGTGAGATGGGGTGGGGGTAGGGGTGTTGTATGGTGTATAGTTGGGTTGTGTGAGATGGGGTGGGGGTAGGGGTGTTGTATGGTGTATGGTTGGGTTGTGTGAGATGGGGTGGGGGTAGGGGTGTTGTATGGTGTATAGTTGGGTTGTGTGAGATGGGGTGGGGATAGGGGGTGTTGTATGGTGTATAGTTGGGTTGTGTGAGATGGGATGGGGGTAGGGGGTATTGTATGGTGTATAGTTGGGTTGTGTGAGATGGGGTGGGGGTAGGGGTGTTGTATGGTGTATAGTTGGGTTGTGTGAGATGGGGTGGGGGTAGGGGTGTTGTATGGTGTATAGTTGGGTTGTGTGAGATGGGGTGGGGGTAGGGGTGTTGTATGGTGTATAGTTGGGTTGTGTGAGATGGGGTGGGGGTAGGGGTGTTGTATGGTGTATAGTTGGGTTGTGTGAGATGGGGTTGGAGTAGGGGTGTTGTATGGTGTATAGTTGGATTGTATGCTTGTGTGTTGTGTTGTATATTTGAGTTTCTGGAGACTTCAGATATCTAGCATTGACTCATGCTGAAACAGAGGAGCCCCTTCTTAGGTCAGAACTAAAAAGTATTAGACTAGTATCTTAAGTCGTCAGGATATGTAATGTATTTTGGGAATAAACTATATAAAATTAGTGTCACATTGCATACATGGATTGTTGTACGTCTCATTATTATAACATTTTGTTCGTGTCTACAGGTATTGGTGGTGTTTGCTATCTGACCCTACGGCCAGTGTTGAATATCCCCATTGTTCTACCTAGCAGGGTTCCATGTGCTGCAAGTCAGAGTAGAAGACCAGAATCAGACTGCAAACCAGTCCACGACCGTTGTACCCCGAGTTTCCCTTAATGTATGATCTTTACTGGACGTAGGGTCTTTTGTTTTGTTGGTGGAGTTTGTGTCTTCCTATTGAGCCGTTTGTCTAATCAATACGTGAAAAGAGCGTGTTTACTTGTGTGTGTTGATTAATTTACATGTGTACAATTTCAGCAGCGAGCATTCCGTTCGGAAAGCCCCGGGATCAAAGCTGCATTTGCTGTATGTGTAGACTGTTTTTACAGTTTTGTATGCGGGGAATGGGACACAGAGGAGGACACCGCATACCTCATGAGGTGTCAGTATGCACCAATGAATGATCAGCAGTAATTCTCTCTGGTAGTCTCCCTTGTTATCCTGATAATCCATTACTGTGTCTGATGTTCGGGAGTTATCTGTTTACCGTTTCTATTTTTATCTAAATAGCCGATTTTTCCTTAGGAATTCGATGAGCAATTTAAGCGCTAGTTCTTTTCATTTTCATATGATGTTAAAACTTGGCTGATGGATATGTATCGGAGTTTTATTCTTTTGAATTCGGAAATGAGATATTTTCTTTTCTGGTCGAGTCTGTTGCAATATAGAAAAATATTATCTATTATCTCCCCTGAATTACATCTCGTTCAGTCTGGTGATATATCTTTAACCAATATATTGATATTATTTTTTAGTTGATCCTAGTCTTGTGATGACAATATCTTCTAGTTTGTTTCGTCCTTATGCACTTGGTTTTGTATTTCGTAGATCTATAATTTCCCGTAGGTTGTTTGATCTGTCTAATTTTTCCGAAGTTTCTGGCTATATATTATTGATGTGTTCATTGATAATAGAGTATATTTCTGGATAATTTCACCTTACATTCTATTGTGTTTTTGTTTTGAAGAGCTTTCTTAGCTAGATCATTGGCTTGATGTCTGGATTACCATTGCCTAGAGCTTATGGTCTTTGGGCCAATATTGATTTATTATTTATTTAATGGGTTTTACGTCCACTATTGCGGTCTTGTGCCTCTTATATCTTGTCCCTCATAAGAGACATAAAATTGTTTTAAATTACAATTATCATGCTTGTTAATGAGGGTTGTTTTCACAGTTCAAACGCTTGTCCTTTCGTTCAGACGTCAGCATATCAGGGATTCATCGAGCTCAAAACTGTTAAGATTTTAAACATTTGATTTGTTTGTCGTATGTGCTGCCGTTTGAAATTATTACTATTTAAGTGTTTTAAGCAGCAACGTTCTTCTTTGATGCTGAAACAACGGGCTTACCAGGCCTTTTTTTACTATTTGTCGATTTACTAACCCACCTTCTGACCTACTGACCCTTAACAGTTCTTAAAGAGACAAGAAGTGTTATGTGTATTGCACGACTCTGTATATACCATATGTACATTGTACGTTTACGTAAAGCCTTGTTTCAAATTTAGTTTCAACCTTCATTTTAGCATTAGGGATTATGTAGCAGGCCAGAAAGGAGTACACACCATTCATCTATGATTGAGATGGTTAGCTCTTATGGGCTGTGTTAAACGTTTGCACGTGCTTTTCCATTTATGTATCTTTGTTGTGTGCTGTTTTGTCGTTCGTACAGGAGCTGTGTATTGACAGAATTTATTGAATTCCTGTAGCGAAGTAACACATATTCCAGTTAGGCGTGGTATCTCAATATAGACAAATTCTTCACCTAGTCTATCTGTACTGAACATTTTGATATATACCGAGTACATCTTTAGGTGATAAATATATCTTATTATACTTACTGTACATCACACTGAACGACATGGAATTTACCGAGAATGCAATACCATCGCGGTCATTGTTTAGTTGTCATTTTAAAGTATTTATCTCTGTTCTTGACACAGATTATCATTAACATGTTGATACTAACAGCATATCGTTCGACTTTATCTCTCATGCGTCCACTCATTGTTAAAACAACAAAACTTACCTTGTTTGACTGATTCACCCACGTTTGATAGGGATTTTGTGGGCTCCAGAACTAAAGACTAGTCTACTTCATATTTGGGCTAATGAGGGCGCAGAATCGATAATAATTGGTTGATCGCTACCTTTTGAAATACTACATGGTAATTTTTCTAAACCTACGTATTAATTAGTACCTACATCTTAATTAGTACCTACATATTAATGGGAACCTACATATTAATGAGTACCTACGTATTAATGGATATGTACATATTAATTAGTACCTACATATTAATTAGTACCTACATATTAATTAATACCTACATATTAATGCGTACCTACGTATTAATAGATATGTACATATTAATTAGTACCTACGTATTAATTAGTACCTACGTATTAATCAGTTTTACATATGTACTTCGTAAAAAGGGATCAAGGGGACCAAGATAGCATATAAAACGAACAAATGTATGGTCATTTTGTAGTAATTGATTTAAAATACTTTCTGAACTACTTAAGTCCTGCTTAAACACATTGGATTGCAATAAAAAAAGGACTGGCCACAAGTTATTTATATCATTTAAAGAACTCGTCGCTGATCGGTTCATCAGATTTGTTCAGGGCTCTAGAGGGTAGGCTTATCCTGTATGAAGATTCAAATAAGAGAATATGGTGAGAAAGAAGACCAAGTATCACATTCTGACGTAAATTGTTTTCTTACGCCGACCCCTGTCCCACGAAGAACTGGAAACTTCCCACATATATATATGCTGCAATGTTGTCGTTTTAGAGCACACACGCTACATCATGTTTGCATGATATCTGCTTTTGAAAAAAAAAGGAATTGAAACTGAGAATATGTAGTAGACACATTTCGATCTCCCTTTTGTCCGGCGCCGTCCGTCGTAAACTTTTAACATTTTTGACTTCTGGAAAACTTCTGAACCGATTTCAATGAATTTTTGAAAAACCCTTCCATGGCTTAAGGTGCACCAAAAGTGAAAATTATATGGTCCAAGGGGTCTGAGTGGCGGGGCCAAAAAGGGTCAAATAAATTGAAATTTTAAAAAATCCCCTCAAATCCTAGGTATGGTAGAATCGGTACTCCTCATGGATCGAAAGGCATTCAGATGCTTTACCAAAATTGTAAATTTCATGACCCCATGGTCTCACATTTCCCCATAGGAAGAGTGTACAATTAACTATATTTTATAGAGGAAAATTACGTTTTTGAGCATAATTTGTATATTTTCTGTTAGAAATAGTTCAAACTTGGTATAAATTAATTCTTTATACGTACAAGCTGACAAAGTGATGAAATGCACATATTGAGCTTGACTGATCACCAGGGGCTGATGGGCGGGGCGCAAAATGGTTCAGATTGACTGAAATTTCAAAGATGCTCTTCTGTTCTTGGATGGAAGATTTTATATAGGTAAATTCAAATCTCAAATGAGATTTCATTTTATTCAAATTTTGTGAGAACCCTAAGCATAGGACAACAGTTAATGCATACACAATTTACATTTGAATTTTCGTGTACAATTTAGTTAAATTTATATCACTTTTTTAAGAAATAATTGCTGTGACATGTTACAAGAACCATTGTGACTCAGGTGACCGTTAAGACCCTTAGGCCTCTTGTTTTTATGAACTGGACACTTACGGCACATGGGGTGCACAACATTAGGCTTAAAAATCACTGAAGGTACACATCAAGCCACACATTCCAGATCTCTGAATATTGAAGCCGTTTGAAGCTGTGTTTAGAAATGATAATGTTAAATAATTATTTGTTATTATCAAGTAGAAAATCCTTCAACAATTCTTTAATTAAACAGGAAAAGTGACTGATCTCTGTTTTGTTGTCGTTCCAGAGTTCAGCGTAGCCAAGGTACCCGAAGACATCGACGATATCATCATAGGGAGCGGATTTGGAGGGCTAAGCGTTGCGTCACTTCTTTCCCGAGCCGGACACAAAGTTCTTGTCTTAGAACAACATGGCAGAGCAGGGGGTTCTTGTCACACGTTCCATGAGAAAGGGTATGAATTCGACACAGGTAAGTTATCAATACTTCATCTTTAACTGTATCTCATTTAATGAAAATTGTACAATTAATGGAGAAAGCGTGATCTGTTCGAGTATATGACAATTACTTTCGGTGTGTCTGAATATATTATTGGATCCAACATTTTAGGATACGTACCGTGCGAGAGATTAACCTTCGTAAGGATCATTTTACATTTCTTGGTATTGCGTACAGGACCTATGTTTTTGCTCACCTATATGCACAGTGGTCAAATTGTCAAAACCTTGAAGCATTTTTTCTGACTAATTAGAAGGCGAAGAAGCATGTTATTTAGCTGATTGGTTCCTAGAATGAAGCCTTAGGATAAAACATGACGTTTTTTTGAAAAGAGAATACTTTGGTCCTTATCCAAGGTCACAGGGGTCACATTCCTTGAAACTTTTAAACATTTTATACTGATTAACCGAAATATGCAGAAGCATGGTATTTAGCTGTTATGTTCCTAGGATAAAGCCCAACAAAGTTTCGGAAGAGAAATGACTTTTACCTATATTCAAGATTATAGGGGTTAAATTTATCAAAACCTTAAAAGATTTTTTTTCTGATAAACAAATGAAATAGAATCATGATATTTGGCTATTAAGTCTCTTGGGCGAAGACTGATGAGGCTTGCGAAAAGAATTAACATAGACCCATATTCAAGGTCACACAGGTCGAATATTGGTAAAACATTTAAAGACATTTTCTGACCAACCAAAAAGCCCAGAAACATGGTGTTTTGCTGAACCATGACAATCTTTGTTTAAAGAAATTACCTTGACCATAAATAAAGTCACAGGGGACAAATTCGTTGATACTTTTAAACAATTTCTTCTGATTAACCAAAAGGGCTACAAACATGATGTTTGGCAGGTAGGTCTCTCAGATGAAGTCAGACAAATTTGCAAAACGAAATGACCTTGAATCATATTCAAGGTCACATTGATCAAAGATGTTTTCTTGTTAACCAAAAGCCTGAGGGAAACGTTTGATTGCGAAGCAAAGTGGTATCATTATCTCATTGATAAGGGAAATCTGAATTTTTCTACTTCAAATGCTGTAAGGTGAATCGTGGCATATCAGCATAGGAAGCATGAAAAATGCATTGGTGCAATATTTATATTTTATAAAGTTGAATAGTATTTTTATATATTGATTGACCTTGTCTTGTCAGTTCACCATTATATATCTAATGTTACTTAACTTGGTTATGGTCAGATTTCAGTTTCGATTGTTTAATATGTTATAGGAATCCACTACGTGGGAAATATGGCCCCTGGGTCAACTGACCGGGTGCTGATTGACCAGATAACTGGGGGCAGAGTGGACTATCCCCCTATGGATGAGGCGTTTGACACGGTATGTTAAACAATGTTTTCTTGTGTCCTGTAAGGCACAAGTATCCGATTAGCAAGGATCCAGATCACGTCTTATCTTTGATAGCTTGAAGGAACGATGTCTATTTTGTCTGGTTCATAAAGTGTTTTGTCTCATATGTATGTTTTGCTTGTAGGAGTTTTTATCGCAATCTTATGATATTTGTATTGATCTTTATTTATTTGGTGGTTGGGTGGTGGATTGGTAACACGCTTACCTCTCATCAAGCCGTCTGGGGTTAAATTCCCTGAATGGACGGGTAGTCCGGTTTCCTCCTACAGTAAGACCAATGCCCAGTGGGTCACTCAACTACAGCCATTAAGTCCATGGGTGGATACTGTACAAGTTTGATCATGATAAATTGAAATTCAAACAAGAAAAAATCATCAGTTTAAAGGGCAACACATCCCATTTTAAATATTTGAATCTTAGTCTCCTATTAACAAAATTCTGAAGTCTTTGACAATAGCAAACATTATCCTAGGATAACACTATAAGTTGTTTTTTTTAACAATTTTTTGTTTGAATCAACTTTAATCCACTAGACTGTGCTCGCTGTTCCTGTAGCAGATATAAACACTTAACAAAACACATGCCAAAAATTCTAAGGAAATACTTTGAGCATGTAATAAAACCATACTGAAATGGTTTTCATTCTACTATCATTGGTTTGTTTTGTATTGGAAATATGTTGTTTAAATTACCATTTGTACATTTGACTTTCTGTATTATCCTTTTTATAATTAAACTTTTACTCCTAATGGAGAACTTTTTATCTACGAGTTTATAGTCCAATCAGACACTTACCGAGGTTATTTATAGTCCTATCAGACACTTACTTAGGTTATTTATAGTCCCCTCAGACACTTGCTGAGGTTATTTATAGTCCCATCAGACACTTACCGAGGTTATTTATAGTCCAATTAGACGCTTACTGAGGTTATTTATTGTCCAATCAGACACTTACCGAGGTTATTTATAGTCCCATCAGACACTTACTGAGGTTATTTATAGTCCAATTAGACGCTTACTGAGGTTATTTATTGTCCAATCAGACACTTACTGAGGTTATTTATAGTCCATTCAGACACTTACTGAGGTTATTTATAGTCCCATCAGACACTTACTGAGGTTATTTATAGTCCAATTATACGCTTACCGAGGTTATTTATAGTCCCATCAGACACTTACCGAGGTTATTTATAGTCCCATCAGACACTTACTGAGGTTATTTATAGTCCCATCAGACACTTACTGAGGTTATTTATAGTCCAATCAGACACTTACCGAGGTTATTCATAGTCCAATCAGACACTTACTGAGGTTATTTATAGTCCAATCAGACACTTACTGAGGTTATTTATAGTCCAATCAGACACTTACCGAGGTTATTCATAGTCCAATCAGACACTTACCGAGGTTATCTATAGTCCAATCAGACACTTACCGAGGTTATTTATAGTCCCATCAGACACTTACCGAGGTTATTTATAGTCCAATCAGACACTTACTGAGGTTATTTATAGTCCCATCAGACACTTACTGAGGTTATTTATAGTCCAGTCAGACACTTACCGAGGTTATTCATAGTCCAATCAGACACTTACTGAGGTTATTTATAGTCCAATCAGACACTTACTGAGGTTATTTATAGTCCAATCAGACACTTACCGAGGTTATTTATAGTCCCATCAGACACTTACCGAGGTTATTTATAGTCCAATCAGACACTTACCGAGGTTATTTATAGTCCCATCAGACACTTACCGAGGTTATTTATAGTCCAATCAGACACTTACTGAGGTTATTTATAGTCCAATCAGACACTTACTGAGGTTATTTATAGTCCCATCAGACACTTACCGAGGTTATTTATAGTCCAATCAGACACTTACTGAGGTTATTTATAGTCCCATCAGACACTTACCGAGGTTATTCATAGTCCAATCAGACACTTACTGAGGTTATTTATAGTCCAATCAGACACTTACCGAGGTTATTTATAGTCCAATCAGACACTTACTGAGGTTATTTATAGTCCAATCAGACACTTACCGAGGTTATTTATAGTCCAATCAGACACTTACTGAGGTTATTTATAGTCCAATCAGACACTTACCGAGGTTATTTATAGTCCCATCAGACACTTACTGAGGTTATTTATATTTCCATCAGACACTTACTGAGGTTATGTATAGTCCCATCAGACACTTACTGAGGTTATTTATAGTCCAATCAGACACTTACTGAGGTTATTTATAGTCCAATTAGACGCTTACTGAGGTTATTTATAGTCCAATTAGACGCTTACTGAGGTTATTACAGTCCAATCAGACAAGTTATCTAGTTTCTTATGAGACGGTTGCTGTGGTTTGTCATCATTAGAATATTATCCCAAATGTTGTCAGTTACTAGTGGATCACATTTCCTAATGTTCCAAAGGGATGTTATACGATGAACTGTTTGTGTTTATGTCTATAATTTGTTTTGAATGTCATACATTCTCTTTATAAGGTCTCATCTTGCTATTATATAACAGTGATATCACAAATTTGCATGTAATTTCTGTCATCAAATCTGCCAACATTGTCTAATTCTGGGCGGTATCTCTATTGTTTTGTCACAAGTAGTTTAGAACATTGATATCTGCATGTTGTTACTTCAATATCAAAAAGAGAATATATCACAATGTTGTTATCTGCGTTACCATGTACTTTAATGTTATCAATGTACTTTACAAACCAACCTATTTCTGTTAATTGTTTAGAAAAAATTAAAAGTTTGTCAATATCTGGTAATTTTTAGCCGGGGAGTAACATATCTCACTGATACAGTAATTATAATACAATTTGGTGACAGAAAAAAAAAAATTAAAGTTGTGTTCTGTATGCAATTGAATGACTCACACTTGTAATGAATCTGACGGGCCAAACTGATATTTGTTATATAATGCGCTAAGTCGTATCTGTCTCGTGTGTGAAATGAATAAAACGTAAATCACATGAAGTCTGACTGACAAGGAAAGCATAACGCGTCAGAGTAGTTTCCCGGAAAAAAGTTTTAATCTTAATTTCATTTCAACAAAATCATAGGTTATGTCGTTGTTAAAATTTCAACAATATTCTATTTGAAATCTAAAATTGATTTTAAATGAAATAGAAAATGCGACCCCGCACTCCTGAGAGGTAAACAATGTGCTGCCTACAATGTTTACGCGGCACTTTCCAAACCTTGTGAAGAGTGAAAGTGAAGAGGCTGTGTAGGTAGTGTGAGGCTCCCACGGGATACGCGAAACTCTGATGAAATATTGAATAATTTTCAAAGTAGTAGGTGCGAGAAAAAATATATTACCTGTAGCTGAGCGAGATCGGGGTATCTCCGACTAAGATCCTGTAACATAATCCCAGCCTCGGATCTTAGCCCGAGATTGAGAAACCCCGATTTCGCTCAGTTACAGGTACCAGATTTTATAAGTAAGTCTAATCCGTTACTCACATTTTGAACTGATCTTACTAACATTTCCACCCCTATTTCTGTTAACTTTCCCCCAGTGTGCAATTTCTATACATTTTGAAGACATCGATCAGTAGTCTCGTCATTTACATAGCATTACGCAAAGTCCAAATATGGACTATTGACAATAAAAAGGGCACGATGTCTATACCAATAGAGTATTTTGATAGCATTTGTGATGTAAATATTTCACAATGTTACAAATATTTTAGTAGTCTTTGTTTGAGGGGATTTTAATTGAATTGATTACAATTTAATTTGCAAAACAAAATCCAGAGACATCTTCACATTGAACGGACGCAACAGATATTTTATGACCCCAATTTACTGGTATTTAGTATTGCAAAAGAAATGTCCGAGATTGTAGGTTCTCAGAAGTATCACACAATTTCCAATACTAGATACATTTTCGTACTTTGCCAAAGCCGAGCTTGAACATCTTATCTCTCATATGACTGTATTGAGTTCCTGCTGCATCTTAAATGTATCTTCTAACAATTTACAATGAAACCATTTTTTCATTAGCCCTTTTGACGAGAACGACTTAAAATGAACAAAACTACCTTTTTGTGGATGATTTGGTATAGCGGTGCCAGAAGGTCAGCAGAACTTTTGTGGTGTCTCATTGTGTTTGCTAACTTTATCTATAAAATGTTCAGTCAGATGTTTGTAAATTGATGTGTGATACTCCAGCCTTAAATGAATACAACTTTATGTATAGGTACAATAATAGCTCAACAAGTTATTATATCTTATATTAATTAGTGACCCGATGGAAACCAGGAAAACCAATGTGGTAAAGTAGTAACCAAAGGGAGATAATTTCCTCGTCATTTTTACTATAACGTGTATTTATTCATTATCTTCAACCATAATAGGAGTCCGATGCTGAATCCCTAAAAAACTAACCTAAAACATACATCCATACGACAGGGACGTGATTCTGTTTCAGTGCAGTGATTGAATGATAATTAAACAGTGTTCCACATCCATATTTTAGCATGTTTTAATGTTGTAGGTCAGAATTAAAACTCCTGGTATATAATATTGATAAAACAACCATTTTGTTTCATAAATATGGTGATTTGGGTTCTAAATTTTACGAATAGTATTAACACTAGGTTTTTTCTTCTTCTTGATATGATCAAATCACACCCATAACATCAGCAATATCATCCCGAGGATCCCCAGGTACTACACTTTAGTCTAAAATTTAATTTGATTGGCATGAACTACAAACAAATACAGGTTAGGTTATTTATTAGACTGGCTGGCTTACATTATGTAAAGACAACTTGCAGTATCACATCATATATACACAATTGTTACTGTTGATGTATAAGTTAACCAATGGAAATTCCACTTAGGAAAGGAAGGTAGTTTATGATGTAAAAAGTAATTTTTATGTTTTTTTGTATTATACAGGTTTACTTGGGTGACCCTGAAAAAGCGAGGAAATATGACATATTGTCTGACAGGAAAAAACTAGAGGCTAGCCTTATCAAGAAGTTCCCCGAGGAAGAAGAAGGGATAAAAAAAATGATGCAATATTTTAAGGTACTTGTTTAAACACCTTATGCTGCATTGTTTTGATAGAACACATATTGTTAAAAGTACATCACTTTTTGATGATTGTGGGGAAGTTTCATGGTCGTCATAGCCTATACACTGAGAAATCTACTTTTCTTTGTGCTATATGAAACTTTGTTTGATACTCAGTAATTTGCCAGGTGATTTCATTGTTGTAAATCTTTCATGGTAGGTGTCGTCAATGAGGCAGAGAACGCTTACACTTCCGGAACACCTGGTTTAATTATCCTTTTCCTCATTCAGGAATCTCCATGTAAATGTTTCTTTTGATGACAGTTTACCGTAGTTTTATTGAATTGGAGTTTAAATTATGATTCTGTTCACTTGTTGATATTGTTGATTTTGATATGTAATATATAAACACGTCAGTGTTTGATTTACTACTGGGTCTTGTTTCGTTGACGACCTACTTATACATTGATCTCGACAAGCTCCCGGTACAAAATCACTCGGCCAAATAATAGGCTGCCATGCCACTTTAACTTTGTGGTCTATGCACAGCGTTTTTGACATTGACGTTATACTGTAATCATCTAGATGATTTGTTGTAGAATATTTGGAGGCCTAGATCAAGGTACTGACTTTATTCAGTGGTACAAATGTTTTTATTTATATAAATAGATACATGTAAAATGTTCATTGTTTTATACATTTTTATTTAGGATTGTGAAGGATTTATGGAGGGATATTTTGTACTCAAGCTATTGCCGAAATGGATCCTAGGAATTATGACTTACACAGGAATTTACAGCAAGTTGTTTAAACCTTACTCTAAATACTTGTCTGTAACTACCAAGGAAATATTGGACCGCTGTACGGACAACAAAGAATTAAGAGCTGTGTTCACCTATATTTTCGGGGACTATGGTGAGTGATGTTTTAGGTTACGTGCAAAGCTTGGGTCTGATAATTTGAACATTTTGTACGCAGCTTTCATCTAAATCTCTACCGGGGATCATTCTTCTGCCAGAACACATAAAGTCGTCTTAAATAACATATGAAATTTTAATGTGCAGGTATTGTGGCATCAGAATCCTCGTTTGGGCTACATGCAATGGTTCTGAATCACTACCTGGACGGTGCCTACTACATCCGGGGCGGTTCGAGTGAGGTAGTATTACACACCATTCCAATTATAGAGGACGCTGGAGGCAAGGTGCTGGTGAAGGCATCCGTTAATAAGATACTCATTAACTCCCAAGGACAAGCACATGGTACGATTCTGGATGTTTCTTAGTTAAATCTTTTTGAAATTCACTGTGATTTGCATAAGCGTACATGCGTGTTTAAATATTTGTTTATATATATAACTACCAGCAATTTATGTGAGAAGGGATTGTATGTACATTAGCAAAGTTTTGTAATGACATTTTTGATAGCCTGAATTTGATTTAGATCCATTACCTGATTGTGTTTATTGATTTTACAACACTTTATGACGATACACCAGCAGCAAATATGGGCAAGGTGCTTGGGTGTTTTTTCTTTGTGCCTGTTTCTGACTGATGATCCAGCCATGTTATACTAGGTTAGATACATGACTTAATTTGGATGCATAACACACTTAAGATCACAGAGGTCGAATATGATCTTCCGAATGAGGAGTAGGGTCGTTATTTAAAGTGAAATGAAATTTATGAACCATCACGCCATGTCTAAATCTCTATGAGTAGTACCATGATTAGACACCCGATGTTGTTTGTTATATACAGGTGTGGAAGTGAAGACGAAGGAGGCAAAAGTTCAAATTTATGCAAAGCGTGTTATATCCGACGCAGGGCTAGTCAACACATTCTTCAAGCTATTGCCACAAGAAATTGCTTCAAAATCATGTGAGGACTTAATTTCAGTACCAACGATAACAAAATTAACCAGTTGTTATGTCTGTAATAGAATGGAGTCGTTAACGATACCTACGGTACAATCTATAATGTCTTTAACAATACCGACTTTACTAGTTAGAGAGTCCCTAATTCTGTTGCGTTATTGATATGATGTATGCTGTTTAACACAATGTACTGGCCTATATGATAGATCATGGCCTATATATATACCTTATTTCACTCAGTTTCACCACTTTGTCAACTGAGAGGTAGATAAAGACATTATTCGACTGTGTACACTTCTTGTTTCTCTTCGGTTATCTTAAATACCTGAAAGGTGCTATAGCTCTAAACGTGATTAGGAATTTTCTTATTGGGATTTTACTTGAAGACGTGGATTTATTTTAGAGATAATGATTGTAGATAATTCATTCGAAGCATTGATCTCAGGAAATTGATACAGGTGGCATTAAAAGTTTTTCTTTTTTAACGGTATTGTGATTCAAAACTCTGGGGTTGCATGCAATTTGAAAGTGAGCAAGATTAAAAACTGGTATACAATAATATGATATGTTTATGGGTTTTATCTTAATGAAAAGTAAGACATCACTTGTGGCATGGTTCAGAACATGCACATGTACCCGATGTATATAAAAATTAATTGAATTATGGGGTTTAATGCGTCTCCCCTTCTAGATTCTGACATTTCGATCACTTTGGATTTTTCCCAGGTTAACATTTAGGCCCTTAGCCTCAGCGAATTTCCAACAAGGACAAAACAGCTGTAAGGTGGCTTTACTGGATCTATATTTCTATTAAATGCTTTTATTCATTCTCTTGTACAATCTCGGCCAAGTTGTGAAAATAGAAAATGTATGAAAAGTCATATTTGTTTTAGTAACAATCGATCTTGTTTTCTGATAGGTATATACCCTATGATCAAGCAGGTAGGAAGCAGTGTTTCATTCCTCACGGCCTTCATAGGACTAAGGGGGACCAAGGAGGAACTAGATCTAAAGGCACACAACTTGTGGGCATTTACCAGGTAAAGCTAATTGGTTGTATTCCATATAATGTATAGATGTTTGACAGGTCCACTACGCATTTCAACAATATATTTTCCACAATATCAATATAGCTAATTAGTAATTTATGGTGAGCTCATTGGACGTTACTGCATGTAAAATCCTAAACAAACTAGGTGACTAGATTTTAGGTATTTATTCCTTTATGAATTTCTTCATTCACTTGGCATTTTCTCTCATTTGACTTCCATGGGAAATAAAATTAAATAGCCAAAAACATATAACCACACCGACACAAACAAAATCAGAAGAAAGAATGGTATATCATTTACGTGGTTTATTTGGTGACCCATGTTAGATTATAGTGAAATAGAGATGAAAGAGGAGTACATTTGGAAGGATAGCTCATTCTTATCATGTGTTAAGATAATGTTAGTTTAAGGACTTCATGACATACTAAAATAATTGAGACAAAATTACATTCTCTGTTGAAAGATTAAACTCTACTATTTGTTTGTCTTGGTCAATTTTTAACCGAGTTACAATCCATCTTTGTAGTATTCTTCAGAGAAAAATGTTGATGCTGAAATATTAACGTATTCTCTTAGCAATTAAATCTGGTGATTGATCATTCAGTGTATGCCAAGATGATTTAGAGTTTAAGATATTGCAGCTTTGAGATTGAAAGTATGCAAAGCAAGATGGATATTTATGTATGGAATTGACATTTATTTCACTTTAGTTTAACAAAATTATAACTGGTTGTTTATTCTAAATTACTAGTTGCTTACAAATAAAGTCTCAGTGATTGTCCATCTGAGTGAGCGATTCAACAAACACACCTGTGTCATAAGAGTTCCTGGCTAGGATACTACTATATATGGTGTACCTCAAAATAAGGTTCCCTAGAAAGCAAACTGATTGTAGTGAACATCAGCTACAAGTTATCGTGTAACAAACTATGCTAACTTTCATTAAAGGTATACACTCTTAAAAATTCAAGTATCTAAAGAAACAAGTTTATAATAAAGACAAACCCATCATCATTTTGATAACCGACAATTATTTTACATTATTATTTTAGTTTCTCACAAGAAGGACTTTTGTAAATTTGATTTCGTTTAGACAGGAAAAAATATAGACATAATACGATGTCATCTGTCTTTTTACATATAACAAAGTGTAATGTGCACTTTGATATTTCCAAATTGCAATTTTCGAAAAGGTTGTCCTCTCTTTATCACACAGCCCAACACTGTTTTCATTTTCATTCCATAAAACAAGGCAATGTTTAAACGGATTTTTACCTTATGAATACACGTTTTGTAATCTGTTTTGTAATCGGACTGCAATTTTTCATAAAAAACTTTTTTCTTAGATGTATATTTCTCTTAATTGTCAACATCTTGACCTCTGTAGAACAGACCAAGAAGAAGCTATGCAGGAATACCTTGCCCTTTCTCCAGATGAACTTGAAGGCTATGAAATACCACTGATGTTTGCTTCGTTTCCATCTGCCAAGGATCCATCATGGGCGGCGAGAAATCCAGGTAATCAACAGAAGCTGGCTTAAATATGTCTTCTGAAACGCGGTAGAATAATGGTTCACAGCCATATACATGTATACATCACTGAAATATCCATTATTGTAATTTGTCCTACCTAGGTGTCATATCGTTGCGGACAATACAATCATCTTAATGATTTCATTCTGATTATTATAAATTGCATTTTCGAGGCGAGTAGTTGTCAAAACAGATGATACTAACAGGAATAATAAGTATTTTATAGCTAATGTGAATTTGTGACTTTTTGTAGGGAAAAGCACGTGTTTGATTATTACGCTAGCCAGGAACGAATGGTTCACAAAGTGGAGAGACGAGCGAGTGAAGCGTAGAAGTGATGATTATAAGGATCTGAAGAATTCCATTGGCAGACAAATGTGGAACCAATTAGCTAAGATCAATCCCAAGTTGGAAGGCAGTGTAAGACGAAAGCAACCAGGCCCAAATTGTACAAAACTTAGTTAGAGTTAACCAGTCGTTATTAAGAAAGAGTAAATGTAAACCAAACAAAAAGTAGTAGATTCTATCGTGATCGGCAGATTTATATTTCTTGAATGTTGGTGTAGCTTTGAATGTCGATGCCTTTCAGTGACAAATTAATTTTTTTCATTACTCACTAGTTCAATCTAACCAAACTTTGAACAACTGGAACAAAATTCATTTTTTCACACCAAGTTTTCATGAGGAATACGTTTGCCGCTTTATTAGCATAAATCATCGTTGGTTATTAAAAGCAAGATAATATTCAAACATATTTTAGATAATCTAAGTGTAAAAGAAGATAACATGAACGACAGATCAATAACAGGACTTGAATAAATCTGAGCCAATTACAAATATATATTAATAAAATCTCCAGGTTAGAGGATATAACCTAGCATTTAACAAAATTAACAATTTAGGTTTACATCATCGTTTTATGTAGTGCAACCATGCTGCAATTTGAAAACATAATCTCCTAATATTTTCATATCAGCGCCGAACGTCAACATTATGTGTAGCTAACTTTAGTAGTAACAGATACTGCTCTCTAGTAAAAAAAAGACTACTCCCTAGTAACAGATATAATACCCTGGTAACAGAGACTACTTTGTAAATAAAGATTGCAGTGAATAATCCAATCACATTCTTGCTAAAAAAAATCCATTATCTATTGGTCGATGGTGAATATTACATTTTTGCTGAAATTTTGACTGATTGAATGATAAAATTGAAAAGCTATTATTTTGCAATGAATTTCCTGCTTTTCAGTTTTGATATTGCTAACAATATCGTTAATACATTGGCAGTTGAACCATAATGATTGAATTACACGAACTTTAAATTATATTCAGCTCAGCTGCTTGACTTTTATCAGAGGTTCACAATAATTTTAAGTTGAAAGCAGATACATGTATTTGATGGGTTTTTTTTCTGAACTTATATTTCAACATTTGTGTTAGACAATTGTGATATCAAATATTCTAACTTTTGCTTTGCTATATTGTGTCACCCTAGCATCACTGATGGTTTCTTTAAGGTATTCACAGACAAACCACAAAATACAAATGAAGTATTTCATGTAGGTAAAATAACTTACTTTGACGTGTTAAGATGAATTAATTTATGTATATTTTGATTGAAACCCTGTTTTTAACAGTTTTTTTAAGCTTCTTGACAAAGCAGATAATATATACAACAATATGTTTTTTCAATTTAGGAGGAATTTATTGAGATGGGAACCCCCCTTAGCAACGCGCACTATTTAGGTTCTACTGAAGGAGAAATGTATGGTCTTCAACATAGCATAGAGCGGTTTGCGGCACCAGCTGCAGTCCATCTGAGGGCGGAAACTGACATCCCAGGTCTTTTCCTAACAGGTAAGTCATTATCCCACGGATATTCTTCACAGGTAAATCATTAGCCGAGGTCTGTTCGTCACAGGTAAATCATTAGCCGAGGTCTGTTCGTCACAGGTAAATCGTTAGCCCAGGTCTGTTCGTCACAGGTAAATCGTTAGCCCAGGTCTGTTCGTCACAGGTAAATCGTTAGCCCAGGTCTGTTCGTCACAGGTAAATCGTTAGCCCAGGTCTGTTCGTCACAGGTAAATCGTTAGCCCAGGTCTGTTCGTCACAGGTAAATCGTTAGCCCAGGTCTGTTCGTCACAGGTAAATAGTTAGCCCAGGTCTATTCGTCACAGGTAAATCGTTAGCCCAGGTCTGTTCGTCACAGGTAAATAGTTAGCCCAGGTTTATTTGTCACAGGTAAATCATTAGCCGAGGTCTGTCCTTCACAGGTAAATCATTAGACCAGGTCTGTTCTTCACAGGTAAATAGTTAGCCCAGGTCTGTTCGTCACAGGTAAATCGTTAACTCAGGTCTCTTCGTCACAGGTAAATCGTTAGCCCAGGTCTGTTCGTCACAGGTAAATCGTTAGCCAAGGTCTTTTTGTCACATGTAAATCGTTAACTCAGGTTTGTTCGTCACAGGTTATTCGTTAGTCCAGGTCTGTTTGTCACAGGTAAATCGTTAGTCCAGGTCTGTTTGTCACAGGTAAATCGTTAGTCCAGGTCTGTTCGTCACAGGTAAATGGTTATCCAGTTCTGTATGTCACAGGTAAATCGTTAGTCCAGGTCTGTTCGTCACAGGTAAATCGTTAGTCCAGTTCTGTATATCACAGGTAAATCGTTAGTCCAGGTCTGTTCGTCACAGGTAAATCGTTAGTCCAGGTCTGTTTGTTACAGGTAAATCGTTAGAGGTATTTCATTGAGGATTTTTTTTATCATTTTTTATTTAGAATTACACTGTCTTTGGAATATCATAATTTGCATTTTTATGCAATTAATTACATGCTTTTGTAAGAAGCTGTATTCATCAACCAGGACCCGGGACAATACCTTTCCTATGAAACCTTAACAAATATGCTTGGGTACAGAAGTAATACTTAAGGATTGAATCTTGCTTATGTCGATTTCATGGGATGATGAATTGAGTTCGTCTTGAGACAAATTTAATGAACTGCGAAGCAAAACAACTCAACTCATCATCCCAAGTAATCGACATAAGTAAGATTCAATCCTTATATTTCAATTCACGCTTTTTTTTCTATAGCACGGGAACTGACGCAATTTATCTTCTACTTTAATTTTCTTTTCTTGTCATCATATCGTTTGACGTCATACAAGCAAATAGTCCGTCATTTGAAGATAGATTATTGTGACAGGTTGAAATATATTTTAGCGTGGTTACTTAACATTCAATAAAACTTAAATAAGAACAAAATTTAACACATTTTTCGACACCGAAGCGGAGAGCAAGAAATATCAGGCTTGAGTCGCTTCACATCTTTTGAAACGTAAAGTTACAGTTATTGAATGTTAATAACACATTTTTTTTTTTAATTTCTTTAATAGTTTTCAATAGTTTTTAAATCTCATACCTGTGGTATATTGCCAGTCTTGTAGAAGTTGGGAAGTTTTCTCCCCTTATCTAATATTTGTATTAATTCGCACTGGCAATGTTAATCTGGTCAAATTCATCGGTAAATGAAACATATCACATTTAGTAGTTTCATTGCGTCTGATTTGGGTAGAAATTGGAATATTTCTATATAAATGTCAGCTACACCAAGCTTGGAATTGAAACGGTAATGCTTAGCAAAGTACCTGTGAAGACATTACCTCAATATGGCGAGTATAGAAGACAAATTTGGAATATATACTTGACAATAGATGGTATGAACAGATAAAACCGCTGAACAGATCTCTCAAGTCATTGATGTGAAGATTTTGCAAATAGATCTGGCAAATAATGGTTTCCTCATTAAGATATTATATCAACTGTAGACAATATCAGCACCATGTGACACCACTTAACAGCCGCTCCAAACTTCAAACTATTAATGCAATATACATGATTCAGGAGTCTCCGTGTCAAACTTTCTTTTACTCTAATTTTGCCAACGTTTCATCCATTTTATGTTTAGATTAAGATTCCGTTAAGATTTGGTATCTTTTTGTTGTTTTCACGTATTTACCAATTGACACCTATAACCATATGTTTGTATCTATTTGCTAGGACAAGATATATTGACTGCTGGATTCACAGGCGCCTCGTTTGCAGCACTGCTGTGTACATCCTCAATACTCAACAGACCTCTGCATGACGATTTATCACAACTTGTAAAGGACATGAAGAAAGCATCATAGATGAACATTATTGGTCGTGATATTCCAGTGCTTGATAAACACATTTTTTGGATTTGGTTTTTCCGTAGATGTGTCCACCAGTGATTGAACTTGCAGGGTTAAAGAATCATTCCATTGTTGCAAGAACCCAGAAGAAAAGACATGATGTTTATCAAACATATCTATGTATGATCAGAAAGGGCATTAATGATGAGTACTTTTTGTATAGAACTGTTCGGTTTAATTCATCAATTACTAGTATAAATTGCGGATATTTCACGCTTTTAAAATCGCAATCACAACAGTTCCTCGGGAATTAGCCAAAATGTTATCCCTGCAAAAGCAAACGTTTTCACCTCATCTATTATTGTCTTGGCAGTAATATTACTCCATCAAAAGTAACCGGGTTTACATTATTACCTCATCAATTATTATCTTAGCTGTTATTACATATTAATGATTAGGCGTCACTGAGTATTTACTATGATCAGCTGTTACGCCGCATTACATTGTTTCGCTATACTTATTAACTAGGATTGAATCAAAATAGAGTATGCACTTACATAAAAATGTCTCTGAATGTGTTTGTGTGATTGGATTGGTCAGTAAGCAAGTAATATGTATTTATATGGATGTCAGTATTTCAATCATGCAATGCCAAAATGCAACAGCAATAAAGAGTTTTCAAGACATTGGCAACATTGCCCCCTTACTATAAAAAACAATGCACAGAGAGAATTTCATTTTAAGGCGAATGCTATTCATAGAAAATTGTCTTTGTTGACTTAAAACATGTGGTAAAACATAGGACATAGTTCAAGCTGAATGATCTCTACCCTACGTATCCTTGAAAGATTGCTCAGTAGTCCATGTGTCAGTATTGCGGTATTGTTATGTGCATGCAAGGAATCGCAGCTCTGGTAACGATTGTCAGTTACAGAAAGTGTCTGTTCTTAAATATTCCAGTTAACAAGTGATATGTATTCTAAAGTTTATTATGTTATGTTTACCTTTATCATATGTGACGAACAACTCTGATATTTTTTATGATCTGTAATTATTTGCTCATTATCTTACGGCTGATGTATCGAGTGCATAAAACTGGTCTTTTGTGATATGTTGGAGCATTAGACACCTATATTAGCATATAGGGACACCTGATACCTGACAGACATGTAGATAATACAAATACAATACTTCAATGAAAACAATTCACAATTTTTTTTTCGAATAATTTCTATCGATGAAATTAATTCCTTGATTTTTTAAGAATTGGATTATATTAAACGTTGCTGGAATTAGATAACAAGGGGAAGTGGGAATTCGTATGATATGAAACAGAAACATGTTTGCAACACGTGTGTATGCAAGGATATATGAAAGAATGAGTCCTAATGTTATGTGATAAACTTGGTCAAGCAAATATTTAATGGCAGATCATTGAATTCACGCTGTTGATATACAAATTCAATATGTGTACCATGCTTTGCCTTTACACAATGTTACTTGATAGAGTCCAAGCTGATATTTTTTATTAACCATATGAAGGTTGTTTACCTGCATTAAAATGTTTTGTTTTGGTAAATAAATGTTGGAAATTTAAGTCATAGTGATATTCAATGCGGAAGTATACCATGAAACCGAAGTACATGCTTAAGTAAGGATTATGCATTATCGTACTGAAAATCGTCCGTTTGATTTACATACAGCCTATCCTAACTTAATATTGATATGCAATATTATAATGATATGTCCTTGTATGTAAATGTCTTGATGTTGTTGTCTGATTAAAATGACTAGTACCATATATGATACAGTAATTGTTGTATATTCCATCATCATACCACGATAGAGTGCACACAGTTAAGTGAGTATTTAGTGATGATATATTAAGGGCACCTGTAAAATGTCGTAGGATTTGGAGATTTAGTCAAGTGTTTTTTCTGCCTGAAATGAGAACAGGTAAAATTAATAATGAAAAGATTATCTTGTAGAACATCTTTCACGAGTAGTTGATCAAATTGATTCTATTACATTCTAAACAGATTGCTTGTATGAATTATGTTTATTTATCTACAAACAAGGAGATGATAGTCGTGATTTTTTCTTTTTAACAAAATGTTGCATATATTTGTAATGTACATGTACACACACGACATCAGTTCATTTGGTTTGATTTACGTTTAACAATCTGTCGACATTTCTTTGTTATGAGTAATGAAACTTCCGGATTTCATGGAAACCATGTAGTATTTTGCACAATAACAGCATTTTAGGATAAATATTTCGTTCTTCCGACTAAGAGAAACAACGAATGAGCACGTGGAATCATAAAAGATATAATTGCTATTTTGCTAAGGAGACCTTCAAGCTGACACTGATAGATAAAAAATAACAAAGTAACAATTTTTATAATGTTTCTGAGACGACATTATCTTCTAACATTTCAGTGTCTTCTTGTATTGAAACGAATGATGATATTTCAGAGGTTAAAGGACACAACATGTCAAAGAGGTTATCATTATTTCGGAACCTGATTGAAAATGTAACACACTTGGCCTGGACCGAAACCAAGTGACCCTTATTGACAGTAAGAAAAAAAATCAACATGTTTACCTCAGGGCTCTAACAATGCGTAAAGATGGTCTCTTTCTTCAAATAGAAACCAAATGCTTTTGTTTCCTAACACATTCAAATACAAAGTTCATTTATATCTTCACGTAGGTACGGTATTAGGTAGATATGTCTGAAAGAATTGCTAGTAGTTCCGAATGATTTACGAGGAACCGTGCGGGCAAAATGACATTTTGTCATGTACTCTTCATGTTCTCATCACAAGCAAAACGGATTCCGCTTACTGCACATCAATATATACATTTTCAATTGGTTATCAAGATAGAATTAACATTTGCCATACACGGCAAAATTTGTTTATATTGGTATTGCTTCCTGGACAGCTAATTCCTTTAGAGTAACACTACTGTACATCTTATGTGGGAACATGACATGACTTACATGGATTGACCTAGAAGCAGAAGACGCTTACTCTTCCAGAACGCCTGGTCTTATTTTCCTTGTATTTTTTTTTCAGAATCTCCGTGTAATTCTTTCTTTTGTCCATATTTTGCTCTCATTTTATTTGAGTTCTGATTCTATTTACATGTAAGTATTTTCTTTGTTGCTCTGTATGTCATAATCACAGTGACCTATTGTGATAACATGTAAGTATTTTCTTTGTTGCTCTGTATATCATAATCATAGTGACCTATTGTGATAACTTTTTGTGACCTTTTTATATTTTGTGATCACTTGATTAAATGTTTTTGACGATATGTAAAATCAAATGCTCTTTTTATGAATTCATTCGACAGTCTCACATTTTCGTGAAGTTCACTTTAGTTTTGGTAAGAAAATTGAATTTTTGAGAATCAAGTTGTTTATTTTCCATTGGAAATAACTTTCTAATAATAATAAGTATGGGATGACAGATTTGATGGTATACATTTTTTGACACTGACTGATCCCCAATATATTACTTAAGTTTCGCTATCATCAATGTCGCATTTTCCCCCGTGACACTTGAAAGCTACTTACCCAATAATCTTTATATGCAATATTACTCAACTTGGGGTACCGCCAAGACTGCTTGGCCTCTTGTTTTAGTTTGTATGATTACCATGAACAGACAAAATAATAATCAATCATTCTGAAGTGTAACTGTGTAAAACTATTGTGACTAACTAATGGAAGGAATACGGACAAACACGTTGTATCAGAAGCCTAATAACATTCACAAGAATGTTCTACATAATTTATTTAAAGTATTGGAATGTTTTCTCCATTAATTGCGGAAACACTTCATTGTCATAATATTCACGAGAATCTACTAAATAACTTTCACTTATAACACTGTAAATTCTTGCTCGCGCTTGCATTGCCCCTTTCTGTGAGCTTTTATCTCCAGTAACAGTATCACTATTGACTACCAGATTGTGTATGTACCTATCTATCTGGTCCTGCTGCTTCGGTGTTATCTGTGATTGGTAAGATTATTCCGTGTGGGGTTGTTTTTCGAATTTTGTCAGTATATTCTATGGACTGTGTTGTATTTATTTGTGTTTTATTTAGTTTTGTCTATCTGTGTAAACGTGTGTCTGCAAGCAGGAGCCGTCTCAATAACTCCAAACGTGATTTAGATTAATTCTGTTATCCGTGTTTTTGAATGAGTCAATAAAATGGTCTAAGACTTGTTTCTTCTATGTGTTTTGTTTTCGTCTGTCTTGCCATTTCTGTCCACATGCTTTTATTCCTTTGTACTTTCTTCATGAGACTCCTGTAAATCGTTCTTTTGTTTAAATTTGAGTTAGAATTAAGAATAATTTCAAGTGTTGCTGTTTTCTTTGTTGTCTTTCATATTTATTTCTGATAATTTGTTTTAGAAGCTCAGTACGTCACGGTATAAAATAACGACTTTTGTAAGGTTATGGTTTCATGGTTTTGACGGGTCCTTCAACAGGTGTAGGGTATACTTTATAAATGTAAAAAAAAACCAACTCACTTTTATAATTGTATGTTTAATCCGAATGATCACAACTGTAAGAAAAATGAATTAATATTCAGCCAACTTATATCTGTTTATCTATGACAGATTACTTGGTTTTCAAGGCAAACGATCCGTACGATTTTGTTCTCAACATTTTGACATTAAACCTGAAAAATGAATCTCATAAAAAAACTTAAATTTGCTTTTATTTCGTCTCAGATTTTGTGAATTTCATCTCGAATTTTAAATCTGCCCTCAAAACATTAACTTCTAATACTTGTTTCATACAATATCTTATGAAAAAAAAATCCTTTTAAATTCTATATGCATTTCTGCATTATATTCGACCCATTTACCGAAACGGGCCGAAAGTTGAACTTTGACGAAAGTTTACCCGTATACAGAATGTACACATACATTGCGATATAATGGAAGGCTTATCTCACCTGATGTTTTACTTTATGTTTTATGTTTAAAATAACTTGAATATATAACGAGCTTAAGTCAAAAGGAATGTTAACATGTTTTCGCAAACATGAAAATGAGTGAAAGCGAAATGACATTCTTTTTAATATTAGAAAATGATAATAGTTTACATTACAAAATTCAAGGGTTACCAACAAATTCGAGTTTAAAAATCTGTATAAATAGAGTAGCTCCACGGGTTTTTTCTGAATAACATGCATCTTCGCTTAAATTTCAAACCAAACCAAACTAATGCATGCGTGCTCAAATATGATTGCCCACCAATTGAAATTCTCTGCCCCCAGTGACTGTCAAGCTTATCTCTTTACCTCCAGACAGAGTGAAACTAGGGACAGTAACTCTGGGAGATCAAAATGACCTATTGATAGTGTGGCGCCCCTACATTTGACCCATTTTGCTGCGATGTAACCGTATTAATTGCCGTAACTGACCCCGAGAGCACTGTCGTTGAATCTTACGAAAATGGAACAATGTTCTACTTTCAGATTAATTCCGATTTTGTCTGCAACAAGGGGAATAAAAGTGCAGAGTTTGTAGGCGCCAGTGGAGCAGCATACAAATTGCTGCATCGCAGAACGGGACCGGCTTGGCGGCGGAAGTGGGAGACTCGTACTAGACTTGTTGAGGTTTATGACAATTTAACCGTCGTTCTATATCGGGACGGACTGTAGTAGCAGTGGTTATACCTTCCAAAGGACAATATGGTGTTAGCTCATCTTCCATCAGGACAGCATGCCAGCAGGACTTTCCTGCGGCATCAGAATAACATGAAGGTGTAAGATTGATCATCAAAACCACCTAATTCGACACCATTTTGGGAAATTCTTGGGCAACGCGTGAAAGAACGTTAAAATCAGCCGTTAAGTTTGTAAGGGCAAATCCAAGCCTTGAACGATGAATGGAAATCCTCGAATCATCCGCCGGTTAACCACGTTCATGCGGCAAGATTCAAATGTTGTTTATCTTGAATCCTGTGACCCAACCCGCTGCCAATTAGACCAAATCATTTTTATCAATAACTCAATAGATCAATAACTTTATTCGTACAGGATTGATAAGGGATTTTAAAGGGAATAAATAATTAATTAATCACAACATAAACAATTTTACAAAATCTAGATGGGAAGGAGAAATAGTCCGATAAATAAATAAATGTCGTAATCTTCATATATCTGATATGATATTCTCAATAGAAAATAAAGCACACATGTTTAGTCTGGCCCGTGCTACTTCTCCGATTAATTAAAACATAACTCGCAGGATATGTTTTCTACAATGCACATACGAATATCTCTGAAAATATTGTTTTGTAAAATCCCAATTAATGTGTCATATTCTCTTTTAGTTGGCAATGAAACCCACTCACGGCTTCATTTGGCATTCTTTGTGTTCTTAATATTATTATTATTATTTCCCTGGGTATGTGTTGTCAGTTGACAGCGCGAGTTAGAAATCTAATGTTCTGGTAGAGGTTTTTATTGTCCTTTTCGTTATAATGGTTCCTCACTAATGACTCACTGTTGTTTCTGAAAAAAATGGTTTGACTTTCCCTGATCACTCGCTGTTGTTTTTCACATCTGTTTTGACTTTCCCTGATGACTCACTGTTGTTTCTTACTTCTGGTTTGACTTTCCCTGGTGACTCACTATTGTTTCTTACTTTTGTTTTGACTTTCCTTGGTGACTCAATGTTGTTTCTTACTTTTGTTTTGACTTTCCCTGATGACTCACTGTTGTTTCTTACTTTTGTTTTGACTTTCCCTGGTGACTCACTGTTTTTTCTTACTTTTGTTTTGACTTTCCCTGTTGACTATCCCTGGTGACTCACTGTTGTTTCTTACTTTTGTTTTGACTTTCCCTGGTGACTCACTGTTGTTTCTTGCTTTTGTTTTGACTTTCCCTGGTGACTCACTGTTGTTTCTTACTTTTGTTTTGACTTTCCCTGATGACTCACTGTTGTTTCTTACTTTTGTTTTGACTTTCCCTGTTGACTCACTGTTGTTTCTTACTTTTGTTTTGACTTTCCCTGGTGACTCACTGTTGTTTCTTGCTTTTGTTTTGACTATCCCTGGTGACTCACTGTTGTTTCTTGCTTTTGTTTTGACTTTCCCTGTTGACTACTGTTGTTTCTTGCTTTTGTTTTGACTTTCCCTGTTGAATACTGTTATTTCTGACTTTTGTCTCATGTCACTATCTGGTCAAGATAATCTCTATAAATAATACTATATGTTATTTATCTGTAGCACAGTTCATATCAATAATTTTACATTGTTCTTTCTAGTTATAAGATTAGCATTCAGAAGCCTTTGTTATCTCACAATGTGTGTGCATTTCATTTGTTTTTCTATCGGCATCACGATACCTTGTTTTAACAAATCGCTGCAGTGCTAATCCAGACAGGTAAAAAACAAACTGCAGTATACTTTCTATGAGAAGGAGGTAGCAGTACCACATAGGACTTTGCTCGTCCATTAAGATCCCTAGAATTAATGGGTTGATCATGCTGCCCATAGCCCCTGTCAGGATAAATAGGGATGAGATTCTTCCAGTGACGGGTATGAACACGTCCTCTGTCCATGTAAATATGATGGGATAAATGATAGAGAGAGAAAGTCCGGCAAGTGGAGGTGCAACCCACACACCGGCATGGAAGATGTTATCAGCACTCAAAGTCAGTACAATCATCGCTAGTATCAACATAAAACAATTCATGCCCATGAGTTTTACATGATCGACCATTCTGACAGTAAACATGTTGATGAAATGTCCCAGGCCTATAGAACCAAAATAAAGGGACGTGGCCAGGGATCCGTGTGTTTTTGTCCAATTCACTTGTTCCACACAGAATGCGGAAAGGAATTCAACGAACGTTTCTTCTAGTCCCGTGTAAAGCATAGACAATGCACTCATATTGATTAAAACTACTATCTTTACTGACAACGGGAGTGGAGTGTTCGACCGTTTTCTATCCTCACATCCATGACGATTAAAGTCGCTACGTATTCGTAAATATATTATTAAAAATGGCAGAGAAACCAAGAATGCGACAACACCAGATATTGCATATGCAATATGTACCCGGGATGTCTCGTATTCTGAGGAATGTTCTATAGACGAAGGGGTTTCCAATGATGATACATTACTTACCAATTCCAGTCTAGAATCATTGTATGAAATATTAGATACACTACTGTATGTAAAAGGAGCGGAATATATTTCTTGATGTTTGACTGAGGAAGTCAACAGAACAACGCTGGAATTAAGGTTTTCGAAGGCTGGTGTAACCAAAGTATTTCTATGGGCTAGAAACGGTGCTGTTATTAGAGGCGAAATGATGCCACCTGACGCAAAACCAAAATGGAGAGCCTGCATGAAAGACTGGCTGGTCTTTTTATTCCATATTGATACCATCTCTGCACAGCTCACTGTAAGAAAAGAATTAACATATGATGAAGAGGGAGAAAGAGAGTATATCAATACAACATCTGCATGATGCTATTTAGTACACAATACTATATTTAATGCATGACCATTAGCCTCCATTGACTGTTCAGGTAAAAAATTTAAATGACATTCATTTCTACTATGAATATCATTTTCAAGATGATCTTGCAAGACAGGTGTATTTATTATACATGCAATCATCAAACCTAAACAAAAGCTGCTAGAATTTTCAATCCCCTTTCGGTTATTCTCCACACGCAATCTATTTAACCGATATAACTTCATAAATGTAGCCCTTTTTTCTGTTAAATGTATCTACCGGCAGGGAAGCCATACTTTCCGATTTATATCTATACACAAGTTTTAATCCACCAACTGTGACCACATTATCACCGTATCTATATACATGTATTGAAATAATAGAGAGAAAAAAAGAAGAAAAATATATATATTATTTTACATATATTAAGTTATCCGATATAACAATATAGACATTATCGGTTATGTCCAGATAATATGTGAAGTATCATAAACAGCATATGCATAGTATAATGTTACCCGTATCAATGCATCCTTGGAAAATGCCTACTAAGAACTGTACTGCAAACATTACAACGTAGTGGGTACACCAGGGAACGAGAGAAACTGTCCCTGCCAATCCAATCAAGAACAGCCAGGCTTGTAAAAATTTGTTGAAACGATCATACAGAATGCCACCCAAGAACGATCCTGCCATATATCCAGCGCATAGTGACGTCACATAGAATGCTGCCGTTTCCAAAGTGACATTTGTGATTAGTTGTAAGTCGAGAAGGGATGGTCCGACCTGACCCAACATCCATCCCTGCAATAAAGATATAACATAACACGGATTACCCTACTTTATTCAGGAATTGTGTGACCATCCATTAAAATAAAATTGTTTTATAATTGATTATCCGAGCGGGCCTAGCGTTAATTCTGTGAAACGCACGTGAGTTGATAAAAGACAACGTAATTGCTATTCCATTATCATGTTCCGATGGAGATATCATATCCGAGAAAAGTAAACTTTCATATTTCAATATGACCAGTGACAGAGATTTATTATTAAAAAATCAAACATTTTCAGCCGACATAACAAGTACTTTTTAATGAACAACAGGATAATCAGCATTTCATGTTCATAACGGGGGCTCGCAATGTCCGCTTTTGTCGACAAGTCGACAAAACTAATACGTTTTAATGAACAACCCTCAAACCAGTATTTCATATTCATAACGGATGCTCATAATGTCCGCTTATGTCGACAAATCGACAAGTCGACGAAACTAGCACTGTTTAATTAAAAAAAACTCTCTAATTAGCACTCTACATTCATTACAGAAGCTATCAATGTCCGATTCTATGCCAGTTTCCGTTCAGACCTGAATCATTTATCGTTATGGTGTTTGTTCATCCTTGCTTTCCCATCTATCCCTATGTCTTTTAATTATAAATATATATCGATTCCTTACAGAAATAATAACAATGGGTCCTCTACGGAAGGATATTGATTGTGTTATTTTTTTATTTTGAGAAATAAAATCGTTCGATCCCGCAAGAAGACAAAAATGTTTTAAAAGATAAAGTACGTGAAAGTGTTTTATTCCTCATCACAGTCGTATTTAAACATTTTATTTCTAAAGACTTAAACTATGTGTGTCGTTCATGGGGTTTATAAAACAACCGATTCACTTTCCCGTTGAAATTACTTGAATGACCTTGATTCTCATGGCAGGTTTCATCGATACAGTACAAGTCACTAAGTGACCTGGATTCTAACGACAGGTTTCATCGATACAGTACAAGCTACTTAGTGACCTGGATTCTAACGACAGGTTTCATCGATACAGTACAAGCTACTTAGTGACCTGGATTCTAACGACAGGTTTCATCGATACAGTACAAGTCACTAAGTGACCTGGATTCTAACGACAGGTTTCATCGATACAGTACAAGCTACTTAGTGACCTGGATTCTAACGACAGGTGTGATCGATACAGTACAAGTCACTAAGTGACCTGAATTTTCACGGCAGGTTTCATCGATACAGTACAAGTCATTAAGTGACCTGGATTTTCACGACAGGTTTCATCGATACAGTACAAGCTACTTAGTGACATAGATTCTAACAACAATTGTCATCGATACAGTACAAGCTTCTTATTGGCCAGAATTTTCACGGCAGGTTTCATCGATACTGTACAAGCTACTAAGTGACATGGATTCTAACAACACTTGTCATCGATACAGTACAAGTCATTTAATGACATGGCTTTTCACGGCAGGTGTCATCGATTTCTATTGTATTGTTTCAAAAGCGTATGTATAGACAGGCTCATTTATATATTTTTCACCTGCACGTATAAAAAAAGTTGAAACTTGAGAGCTATTCACCCACATCATTATATTATTTAAATAATTTTCCTATATGCTATTTTAGGGTTAGCCAAATGATAAATAAGATGAAAAACATATGTTAATGATCACTGACGTATTTCAACAAGTTGTAAGCACATCCGATGCTTTATAAACATGTTGCTATAACAAAAAAGGCAAAACATCGATGTGTTTTCACAGACATTAAACCCGTGTACAAACTTTAAAACTTTAAAATGTCTCATCCCCTAGTCAGACTTTGCTCTCCTCAAGCTTATACAACAGATGTTTTGAATCCATTTCATCAAATGTTTCACAAGGATCTAAACTTGTCTCTTTATTGTTCACAATTAATGCTTCTATGTAAATGAAATACTGTTATATGTAAGAAGTTGTCTGACTGATATGTATACAGATGACAGTGCCTGTCTGTATAGGACAATGCCTGTACTTCTTGCGTGTCATCTTCAATGAAAAATTTTTGAATCCTATTTTGAAGTGATGTACAAATAATATGAAACTTAATCAATAAAAATTGCACGTATGTTTTTCTTAGTAAGTATAGATTAAAAAAAAATAAAAGTGTGGCGTTGTTCATTGATGGTGAATAAAACTTGTCAAAAGGATTTAGGGGTATGCATTGGTGAAAACCTTTTTGGGCATATCAGTTAAAAAGAATCGTTATAACTAGCCACGGGAGTGCCTTTACTTCATACGATGTCTTGGTATTTAGATACTGATGCATAAAAAGACTATTACAATGCCTATATTATTCCAATAATAAATTATTCTGTTGTTGGATGGCGTACTGACCTGTCTCAGGAAATGCTAATGGTGTGTTTAAATAAGAAAGTGTTTTTTTTTTTAATTTTTAGCACGACAGCACGGACTCCACGTTTAGCTATGTTCTTTTGAATATATAAAAAAAGGTCTGGAAACAGAATACATAAAATCTTCCCATCGTGTAAAAAGGGTGAAATAATTGTGCTGCCTTGTTCACTGATGATATACAAACGTTGTGGAAAAAGCGTTTGGATCGCAGCGTTCTAGCCGAATCATGATGTGATTTAAACTTACCCAAGTACCTAAATAGCAAACAAGTCGTGAGAGTGATAACAATAAGTGTGATGGTGAAGTTCTATTTTTGGCAGCATTGACCCAGAATTCTGATCGATAACATTCCATATTATCCAAGCTGTATCGAACATACCTGTGACCTGATACGTTTACTGACTCAGTTCGTCTACAAGCGACAACAAATATAGTGATCCACGAGCGAAATGTTGTATGGAAAAAGATGGTAAAATGACTGCTAAAACAAAGGAATAAAAGCATTGTGTCCCCCTTAGTCCTGTGTAAAGTATTCGGAACGGATTGGTTATATAAAGAATTGCACGAAAGGTAATGCAAGTCTAATAATATGTTACCCTCTACTATGAAAACACATACAATAAGTATTCCCTACCTTGATATTAATTACTTGTATGTATTTGTTTCCAGACGAGACAAGATGCTGATAATACTTCACTAGCGATACAGTACAGATAATGGGTGATCATACAAAAAAATCCTTGCCGAGGTTTGCTGTTACCTGGATGCTATTCATTCATTCAATCAGTTCGAATAGTGGCATGGCTCAGCATAAAATCACATGTTCTTGACGTTCTTCTAAAATTATCAATATTTAGAAATCACGAAATTTATTGAATTTTGGAGCCAGTGCACCTCTCCATCAAAATGTTGACCTTTCTTTCGACCACATCGGATGTTTCTTTAATCGCCTCCTAACATTTACGAAGCATCACTATTTCGTCCTCGAAGGACGAAACAGCTGTATGATGTAGCATCACTGACGAGTCCTAGAAGAACGAAACAACTGTATGATGTAGCATCACTGACGAGTCCTAGAAGGACGAAACAACTGTATGATGTAGCATCACTGACGAGTCCTAGAAGAACGAAACAGCTGTATGATGTAGCATCACTGACGAGTCCTAGAAGAACGAAACAACTGTATGATGTAGCATCACTGACGAGTCCTAGAAGGACGAAACAACTGTATGATGTAGCATCACTGACGAGTCCTCGAAGGACGAAACAGCTGTATGATGTAGCATCACTATTTCGTCCTCGAAGGACGAAACAGCTGTATGATGTAGCATCACTAACGAGTCCTAAAAGGACGAAACAGCTGTATGTTGTAGCATCACTAACGAGTCCTAGAAAGACGAAACAGCTGTATGATGTAGCATCACTAACGAGTCCTCGAAGGACGAAACAGCTGTATGTTGTAGCATCACTATTTCGTCCTCGAAGGACGAACAGCTGTATGATGTAGCATCACTAACGAGTCCTCGAAGGACGAAACAGCTGTATGATGTAGCATCACTAACGAGTCCTCGAAGGACGAAACAGCTGTATGATGTAGCATCACTAACGAGTCCTAGAAGGACGAAACAGCTGTATGTTGTAGCATCACTAACGAGACCTAGAAGGACGAAACAGTTGTATGATGTAGCATCACTGATGAGACCTAGAAGGTTGAAACAGCTGTATGATGCATTTTGAATAATTGCGTGGCTCCGCCTTATCAAATCCAAACTTGTAATAAATTGTACCAATCATTTGTGTGTGTTTTGTACAATCTTTCGAGAAAAGATCATATTAATATAACTTAAGAATCATTCACATATCTACAGTAAATTATTGGGCTATTGTAAGAGTTGATAAAGTAAATAGGTTTTTTTATAAGTCTGCAAACAATGTGTGTTCACAATCCTCCTAGCTACAACCAGTTCTTACCGCTAGGTTTAACAACTGCCCACAGTACAAATCTGTGTAACAACTGCCCACAGTACAAATCTGTGAAACAACTGCCCACAGTACAAATCTGTGTAACAACTGCCCACAGTATAAATCTGTGTAACAACTGCCCACAGTATAAATCTGTGAAACAAGTGCCTATCGTTTGTTTGTACATGCATAAACATGTAAAAATGTTATGTAAATTCATTGTTAAAAATTGTCATCAGATCCAACTGATGGAGTGGTTTTCATGATAACAACAACAGCTTGTATTTATCTCGCGTAATCCAACACTATCAGATTTCATTGCATTGTTAATTTTATATAAAAAAAATCAAATTTAAAAAAAATCCAACACTAATAGACTTGATCACACAGTAGAATAACTGTATCGGTACAGAGCAAATACTATCCACTACTGTCCACCCAACCTGGTATTTTATTATAGAAGCATTTAAGTTATAACCTGTTTTATATTGCAACAGGTCCATTTTAGCAAAACGTAGTCTACATTTTTAATACTGTTACCACGAAGCCGAGTTTTCGTATGATAACCTGAATCATTTTAGATAAAAGGATCACCATCATTTCTGATATCAAAATGGGTAGCGTTAATTATTTAAGAAGGCAGCCACGGTAATTTCAAGACGGGGTCTCCTTGTAGTAACTGGTGGGATATCTAATTGAACGACATACGGGAGCCCCGTCGGATAGTATTCAAAGCAATAAGGGTAGTGTCCGAGCCTACGACATAAACAAGTCAGCACAGACCGGTACGTTAAGCAGCTTCCTAATAAGCACAAACCGCCATGGGTAGGGATTTTCGAACCCTGCACCACGGACATACACTTAATCTGTCGTAGACCAACACTTTAACCGACCGATCAGCCCCTAAGTAATTAAAGCTATGACAACAGTACATGAGTACAAACAGATAATTCACTCCAATAACCACATTAAAAAGTTCATCTGAAGTGATTAGAAGAAAATTATGACATTAATGCAATATCGAGTATCAAAAATATTTAAATAAATCTTATTACCAGATGTCTGTTTTCCGACATATTCTTTACATAATCTTGTATTCACAAGTAGTCATAATTTGATACTTTCAGTGATTGTTTAATCTTCCTATCTTTTTTATTTATTAATTCGATTTTAGTTAGAGTCCTTCCTAGAGATTTCGATCATATTTATGGCGTCGAGTCAATTAGTTGTTTAAATGTCAAAAATAAATTATAGGTTTGAATTCAGACTGTTCCTATGACCCGTATACCTACCATCAACTTTCTTATCTTTTTAGGGGTACATTGCAAATTAAGGTACAATCTTTAACAAAAGCTATCGTAAATTTGCACGCATGTAGGCTTCACAATGTATTACGATTCCCTAGTTATTAAAGCAAGCGTATAAATTCAATGTTCTGTAACAGAACATTAAACAATTTGGCTAGGCTATAATACAAACAATAGCCACCAAAGGTTTGATCAGCAGAATGTAGCAATATAAAAAGGGTCGACGAACCAAATACCTCTGAGATATGAATACGTGTTAACGAAGCATGCATTTCGTTTATAGAATTCTCAATGTAATATACAATTAATTACGTAACCAGGTAAATAACATAACTACCTAATTTATTTCAGTTTTCAATGATTGCAATGACTTGTGCATTTCATTCATAATAGACTTTATGGCCGTGACAGTTTTTCATTTTGAAAGCATTCAATGTTTCTGAATATGTGACAACAAAGCAAAAACATTGCAAATTGTCTTTTTTAAAATAAGCTTTTCAGCCGTTTCTGGTCAGTTGGGTTTGCAAGCTCATGTTTATGTAGCTATACCGTTGGGTATCTCCTTTACCTATGTTTTTATGGTTGAAGACTTATTGCGGTGTGTCAATGTCACTGTATTTAAATGTAGATTATAATTATATTCAACTGTCAAAAGTTAAGAAATAGATTATTGATTTCTGTGGTCTAGTACGAAACAACTGTATGCTTACTGAATGTTTAGAATGTTCTTCCATAGATACTCAACAAGTTTGTTTTTAGCAGAGTCTTCAATCTGACAAGTGTTAAAAGAGATGTTTGGACAATGCTCTATTCAAAGAATGCAGCTCAAACGACACACAAGTAAATGATACATTTAATGCAAACAATAAGGAAGTAGAATAAAGTCAAACCATGAGTTAAAATGCATCATACAGCGGTTTCGGCCATCGAGGACTCGTCAGAGTGATGCCTAGGGCCTAAATTATAAACCTGCGAAGCCACTAAGGAAAATACAGTGACTAAACGAAATGGCCAAATTTAGATAGGGGATGTACTAGCCTCATAATTAAGGAAAATTCGTAAACTTCATATCTCTCATCATGAAAGTCGGCGGAATTCGTTAAACATTTTTCAATGACCTAGTTTCACCTAATTATTGCATTCCCAGTGCTATTGCTAAATATGATGTGTGTCTTGGATACCTAGACGAGACTGGTGCTGTTTATCATCTGTCACGCGCCAAAGACTGTGTAAATCATGTGACTACCGGTTGCGGTGTCAAGACCAGGATAAACGTACATATTTTATTGAAGTGGTCAAGTTTATGATCGTTCTAATCAACATTTAGCAGTCCTTAAGCAAAACGCCATAATTGAAATATTTTTTAATTTAGTTTTAAGCACACATAACGACACAATAACATTGAAACATGTTGGTATCTTCGAAGGTGAATATCAAAATAAACTGTGTTCTCCAAATAGGAAACAGTATAACGTGACCTATCAGGAACACCTTCGTTAGCTTCTTGTGAGAGCTTGCCTTCCAAAGGAAGGTGAGCTGTGGTACAAATATATGATTGTGAAGTGTATTTATACATAATACATCCAAACAAAGGAAGAAATGTCCAGAGGACAAATTCTACAAAATGAATTTCTGCTTGACGATACGTTCTTTGAGTTAGGTGATAAGATCTATCAGCATATTGATAACAAACCTTTGGGAACAAATTGACCTTTTCTTGGCTGACATGATTTCTTTTTCATTCGAGGCTAAATTTATAGAATTTGGAGAAATTTATTAAATAAAGGTCACAATGACAGTCAATTTCACTTTCTAAAATATATTGGCAACGTCTTTAGACAGCAAGAGCTGTATTTACAACGTCCATCGTACTCATACCAGAGATAGACATCTAAGACAAGACCGACTCTTCTACATCAGCCGCTTATCTTGATCTTTTCCTACAACAAAATCGCCATGGACAGCTCTCCTTCGAGCTTTATGGTACGCCTGATCACTCTAAATCCCTATCGCAGATTTTCCATTTCTGGAAATTCGAACACCCCGCATTCCCAACTTATTGTGTTTACATATCGCATTTCATTCGATTTTCATGCGCTTGTTCCCAATATCACAATTTTCGTGCAAAATATCGGCAAGAAGACAAGCTCACGAAACGCGATTTAAAGATATACAAGCTGTAATGGGAAAGTTTTGGGGTCGTCCTAATGACCTATGATCTAGTTCCTGTTAAGATAAGTAGTCGAACGTGTTTGATGATGTTGCCTGGTGTTTCTGTTGTTGTTTCCCTTATGGGAACGTGATATTAATCACTTGGATACACGAGATACAACAAGAAATTACTTACATGTTATCATAATCGTAATCCAAACTCAAATTAAATAAAACTGATAAGATATATCGGTTTATTGGGTAACGCACTCCCCTCAGCCCAAGATTTTCAACTTTCTTCCGATCACTTTGTTTGTTCCCCAGTCGCCTCCTCTGCCTCAAAATTTATGCCCTTATCATCACTGACGAGCCCATACAGGGCTTAACGGCTGTATGGTGCGATTTCAATCCCTTTTTCGCTCTTACTTACCTACATTTAAATTTGTATTAAAATGTGTTATGCACATGTGTGCCATTTTATACAATGTTGAGTAAATTCTCTGGAATATAATAATATAAAACAACAACAATGAAAGAGCTGAGAAAATACTTACCAGAATGAAGAACGACCATACCAGAAAGAAACTGTAACTAAATTTATGGCGAAAATTTTTATCCACTTTGAATTTTGTTCTGAATTGTTTTATCCTTGCACAGAAATGTTGCTCTGACTGACTCTTCACACTTTCATTTGGTTTTTCGGCATCAAATTGACTGTTGGCATTAACGTCACTGTGAGAACACTGTTGTGTGTGAATACCGTCGGCGGTCAGGTTGGTATTAAGTAGACACGTGAACTCTTCATGATGGTAATTGTTCGTGCCTTCTTCGCTTCGTTCACGTCGTTGATCATTTACGACATGGGTCAAACTGCCCAATTCACCACCGGAATTATCTCTTCGCATTTCCTGTAAAATGGATAAAACTTATAAAATAGATGTATTAATTTATATCCTTGTCACTAGTACTGAAATGTCATAGAAAAGACTCGCTATAGTCGCTACAAGTTAAAGATAAGAGCTACACAGATATATATATTGACTTGCCGTAAGTAAGACAACCAGAAGTCAATGTAGAATTAATTCAAACTGAGTTTCTCTATTTTTATATTACAATAAAGGACACACTCTGGTTCTCTGCTAACACTCACTGAATAAGATGGATTAGATACCCTTACATAAATGTGTATTGGGAATCCTCGTCATCTCGTCAGGTGCACTTCTTCAAAATTGAACAAAAAGTGATTTATCTGCATGAGCACATCATAAACACATATTTTTTAAGAAGTCTAGCAATGCCGCGCAGATAAACATTAACATTATATAGATTAGATTAACTAGATCGCATGGCTGCGACTTTGTTGCTACTCTATCTATCTAACATAATTTCTTGTGGTTCTTTGTGCTCTGTTTGTTACGATTTGTCTGATATATTGTATGACGCGACACAAAACGAGAAGTTCAAAGTTCATTTATGAGGATGGTTATTATTCTTCAACGCATTTGTTTCAAACTTGTAATTTACAATATAATGGCAGCTTGGAGAGTTATGATAATTATGTCTGTATATAATGCTGTTCCAAGTGTAAAATTTATAGATGGAAGTCCATCTATGTCCAATGAAATGGCAGTTCTAATCACGCTCGGTAATCCGTAGTATTGTCCCTTTGCTGGTTGGTAATCCAACAGATCCAAAACGAATATATAAAACGGAGCTGACCATTGTCTATACTGATATGTAGACAGGTAAATAATAGATATTAATGACACAAAGGCGGCGTTAATTTAGGGTAAAAAAAACTTGAAATATAAGTTAACCATTTCCGGTATAAAGAAACACATACGCTAAACCATTAGTAGTGCCTTACTAACCACTTTCGTCTAGTCGAATAGGACTGCCATTGGTATTCCGTGTGAGAATATCCAGCTCGCACAATAAATACGTCCTTGTGTTAAGTTGACGAAGAGTAAGCAAGTCACTGTCAGCTTAGAATTTAGTATTAAGATATGTCCATATAACAAATAACATTAGGAGATCTGTGAACTTTGAAAAAACCAAATTCTCTCATATTCTGTGTTGTGTTGTGTTGGGTTGTCACTTGTGGTCAGGGTTACATGTAGGTCCCGACAATATTAGACTATTGGGTCGACCGCTAAACTATAGTCAGGCAACAGAACATCATTCTATCACATTCTACTCTTTCGTGTCGTTTCTCTTCAACTGGAAGACCGAAAACCCGTATTAACGGACACTCAGAACGTTGAATAGATAATTAATACACAAATATGTATCCTTATGAAAGAAAGCTTTATCCAGGTTTGTTAGGTTCGTCACCTGTAATACAATATTTTCATAATGTATGACAATAATGTTAACATATATTATTATATGATGTCTGTAAACGTATCTTAAACATATATAGATATACGTTACACTTTAGTAGTACATAAACAACAAACAGATTAGAATCAATACATCAGAAAAGTCTACTGAAGGACACGACTATCACCAGGACAATGAATGTATGTAACACATTTTTTGTGTTCCGATACGCGTTCCCTTTCACTGGCAAACTATTCTACTGTATAACCACCAATATTGCAAGGATGATTTATTTTCGAGGATTTCATGAGTACCCTTAATCCAGGAATTCATACGTCCATGATTTATCTCAATCAACTGGATCTAACTGATAAATACGGTACTTATGTATGCGGAATAGAAATAATTTTCAATGGTTACAAAGTAACCTTTCTTTGACAATGTCAACAAATTCAGTCAGTTTTTCTTGTTTTGTTTATTGATTTACATTTTAAATATATTTATTTGTTTGAGCTTTTTTAACAGTTAAAACAGTTGTAGCAGTTACATTTTACCAAACAGAGCTCACGCTATCTTGAAAATTAATCACTATATTGTAAGTGATCGTAGATAACCAGGGTCAGGTTTACAAACCATCTGCTATTCTACAGCAGAGTACAAGGTCCTAAGGAATTTTGAACTTCAACCTTGAACACTACTAGAACGATTAAGTCTAAAACAGTAGATGTATCTATAAATAGAACCAGTCTGTTATAATGTCTACTTTATCAGTTATTTTGATGACCTATAAGTCAACCTAATCAGTGACTCCTAGTTATTTATCACTTTGTCCTCAAAATATGGGTTATTAGTGTTTAAGTACTAAAGGTTGTTTCTTAAGTGATAATCTTGTAAACGGACCGTGTTTCAAATAGCTAATTAGTAGTGATACCGGAATCTATTAGTAATATCGGAATACCTCTGACGATAATACTGGAATACAGCTGTTAGTAATATTGGAATACCTCTGTTAGTAAAACTGGAATACATCTGTTAGTAATATCGGAATATCTCTGACGATAATACTGGAATATCTCTGACGATAATACTGGAATACTGCTGTTGATAATATTGGTATACCTCTGTTAGTAATATCGGAATACAGCTGTTAGTAATACTGGAATACATCTGTTAGTAATATCGGAATACCTCTGACGGTAATACCGGAATATATCTGTAGGTAATATCGGAATACATATGTTAGTAATATCGGAATACCTCTGACGGTAATACTTGAATGCCTCTGTTATTAAAGCCACAAATTATCTCTGTTAGTACTGATCGCTTTTCGACCTCTATGGCAATTTATGTGAAGAAATATGAAGCCTATCGGGTAAATATCTCATGATATAGATATGATCGAACTTTTATGGAGTAGATTGTCTCTGAAATTAAAATCCTGTATATATAAATGTATGTCCAATCCCTTTACTCTAGAGATGTTAACGCAATTCATTATTTTTAACTAAACAAAATCAACATACTCAACAAGAATGCAAGAAGAAAGCGTGAAATATTTTTGAGACATATGTGAATTTTATATCATATATCAATAGTGTATTGAAATATGGATGTGAGCTGAAATACGTGGATTGGTTAGCCGTGTTTACAGATATACAATTTTCTTCCTTGTTGTATTTCGGATAGATTTGATAGGTAGGTTTAACATGGGTATCAAAAGTGCGAAAACTCACCTGTAAATGTAAGCCTCATCTGCTTATGCAGAGCCTTTTAAAGGTGACACGCGACTGGCGAACAGGTAACTGCAATCAATGTCCCTTCAGACCTGCTCCTACTGACACTTATTTACAATCCGGGTCTCTAATGTGTATCATATTTTTTTTTCTTAATATTCATATCATAACGATCTACAAAAGATTTATATAAATGTGTAAATGGTTTACCAGTTATCCTCAATGAAGACAGAAGACATAAAGGCAGATATGATCTGACATGACACTGACTTAAACATTGGCTGTATGCTGTAGTGATAAGCATTTGTCATTTGAAGAACAAATGTACAGAGATATATGGGCCGCGTGTGTGTCACCACACACATAAACTATTCGCCCATAAACACGGGAGTATGTACACGCCGTGTACATAATCACTCAACCATACACTTAATGAATATAAAGACACCATATCAATATAGCATGCAATTTTCATATCCATCATATCCGCGCAATATATTCTCTAATATTTTTGTAAGTAGTTATGGTAGTGACAAGCGAAAAGAGCGTGTTTATAATCAAACCGGTAAAGGCCAAACAGGAACTTTCTTCAAGCCTACTCAATCACCTTTCAAATTGAACACAGTTGCCAACGATGTCTGAAATGGCAATGCCCAACAAAAGTAGGTGGATTTCAAGCTCAATTTTGGAAGCGTTCCGTCATAGTTCCGTGACGCGTGGAGGTCGACTTCAGCTTTGCGGAAACTCCGATACATCGAAAAATATACAGAAAATATCAACACGTGGACATAATCCTAATCTAAACTCAAATTCCTTAAAGCCAGGGCAAAATATGAACAAAAGAAAGATCAACACGGAGACTCCTGAAAAAAAGTACAAGGAGAATAAGATAGGGTATTCCGGAAGAGTAAGCTTCTTCTGCTTCATCGACGACACCCGCCATATAAACCTTGGTCAATCCAAGTAAGTAATGTCACGTACTCAAATGAGAACAATTTGTAAAACAACGTAACCAACAAATAAACTTACGAATATCAAACGTGCTCACTTTCATATCGCACAAAGAAATAGAATATTTTTCCATGAGAAAGCGAACATACCATGTGTTACGAGTTTGTACGTCAGTTGGCGACTTCTTACAAGAAATCGTAATAACAGGAACAGGCCGTTGAACATCGAATCAACTGCGACATGCAGACAACATAGCTTACGGATGAAGGAGTATTACTGTCCAGAAATGGAAAATATACAATGAGTAAATTGAAATCATCACGTTGATCATACAGCTGTGGGAAAGCTGTCCATGTTGGTTTCGTTGTAGAAAAAGATCAATTTAAGCAGCTGATAAAGAAGAGTATGTAGTGTAGAGTGGTTACATACGATGGACGTGGCCAATACTTTAAACGACTTTGCAAGGTGTTTGTGACAAGTTTTTAACTGAATTCTTATCTAATGTTAATGCATATGGAATGACAGAGGAAAAATAACCCAAAGCAATTAATTGTAACCGATGCTTTTTAACAGTAAATCCTTCGGTATTTTAATCATGTCTTGTGCTAAATTACATATTTTGGTCACCACGCATATTTCACGTATATGTGGAAAATGAATGACAATTGAATATAATTATTTACATAGGTATATAAACTTTACACCTGAAATTTAATCCCCAGGCCACCTGGCTATCATTTAATGTAAAACTTCTTCCTGTCACTTACACGGTTGAGATATGAAAATATAAATAATGCATCGTAATATATATGGCGGTTTCAAATTATGAATAAAAAATGAAAGTAACTGTGTGCTAGCAAAAGGCCGGAAAATAAATGATAACGATAAGGTTTCAAGTAGGCAATCTGTAAACACCTGTAATAAGTAAATAAGGTATTGAATGTGATTGTGTAGGTTTGGTCTTGACCTTTATCAGTGTGATGATAACTTACATATGATCTTATTCTGCTATCTGTGACATTCCTTGTGTGTAGCATGCCACTGGTAGCTTTCCGCTGTGAAGCCTCTGTCGACGTCATCAGGTGTATCCAGCCCTCTTCAGATGTTTCGACCCTAAACCACAACATCCTCCGGCTAGTAGGTCAGCAGTGGTGGCCAAACCACTGCTCGTCTATGTTGACTTACACATTGGCTCATCTCGTCGGTGCCATAGCCAGTATGATGTTTTCTCTGCAGCTTCTGCCAAACGTCTGATGGCTGCACTTCGAGTTCTTCCTGTGATCCCTAGTGTCTGCAGCATCCTCCATAAGGATTGGACCGAGAACCATCTGCAGCCACCTCGATATGAATAGCCACACAGTCCATTCCCTCTCTCTGCACTTCGCCATCAGCTCATCATAAACAGTCTTGTATTGTGTAATTGTATAACTTTTTGTCTAAAAGAAAAAAAGCCTTTTCCAGACTATTGCATTGTAGCAGATTACACATTCCCTCTGTATTTTGTATGGAAAGGTCAATTTGTTATTTTTTCGTAGCGAAACAAGAATTTTCGTTTGCAAATTAAAACCCGGAAACATCATTTATACTCTTTCACACTCTGAACTTGGACACCAACAAATAAAGTACACATTATCTTAACAGCTGTCTTTGATCTGTATTTCCAGAGTTCACATTTGAAAAAAAAAAAAAAAACTTCCGAAAACCATTTTTTTTTTGCCTCCGACAAAGCGTATCGAACATTACCTTTAGATGAATATGTCACTGTTCACATTGCCCCGAGATACAATTTTACGTCATCGGATAACAGGTTTACGTATTGTTAAGAGAAAGGTAAACTGTGCCACAGCCATTATAGCAATACTAATCACACTGTATAAGAACGAAACCCTTTATAAGTACCAGATAAGTGTAAACCCAGAGAAGACGTGATGATAGGGGATAAGTGGAATACAGTATTCAATAAAAAAAATACTTTGTTCAATTCTATTGGAAAATTAACATTTTCTTTAGCGATTATGACCTTTAACGGACTAAAGGGATAATTTATAAAGTAATTAAGGGAAACTTTTTGTTTTGTTGGAATGAATAGCCTTTGACCTTCTATGACATGAGATCATAATCGTTCGACAGTCACACCTTTATATTTATAGTTTCAGATTCTGTGATATAAGAAGTCAAAACATTAATAGGAAGTGTTGGTTTTATTATCAAATTATACTGGATATACAAACAAAATACACGATACATTTAATAATCCTGATTAAAATGGGAAGTATGTTTAGGGAAACATAAATGGTATAAACAAAAAAGCTGAATGTTGGTCACACATTTCCCGCTGATTTTCGGTATTAACTATCTTGTTATCAACTTTAGTGGATAATGTAAACTCTTAGTGAGTCGTGACTTTCTAATCATTCATTTCATCGCAAGTTATTGAATATTTTACTGTTGAAAATAAAACATCATTACCGAAAATCAGCGAAAATAAAGCAGAAACAACTCAGAAAATTGAAGTTTTAGAATATTTTCAAGTATTAGATTACAACTTTTTTTTTTCAAAATCTCATTATTCTGTTGCTTTGCAATTTAGATCCTATATAATCGAATGAAAATTCAGCTTTTTAACATTTCTTTTTTTATCATCTCAGAATTAGTCTACTTCATTTCAATGAAATTGGAAACATGTTGCTGATAAAGATTACCTCTAACCTAGAACAAAAATAAAGGGAATCAATGAAAATTTCATTTTCAATATATTATGATGCCTGTAATGAAAAAAGAAATAGAGCAACATTTTGACTTTTTCAACATTACTAAAATCAAACCTTTTAAAACTCAAAACAAGAACAAAATGTTTAAACTAAGAAATTTCGGTCTTCTGATCTTCATATCTCCTTTGATATTCCTTTTATCATATGGCTATTCATGTCAGTCTTCAATGTTGCCATCTTTATATATTTTAGATATCTCCATTCCAATTATATAGTCAAAACATAACCTACAAGTCGTCGACATTAATTTACAATCATTCCATGAGGTTTCAACTAGATACACATAAGTTCGTATCAAAGACGTGAATTCAGAAAACACCATAATCATGTGTAAATTGGATGAAGTTCTAGACATGTTGCAATAGTAATATAGATATTAAAAAATGTACTGGAATACATAAATTATATGAATACAAAATAAGATATGTCAATATAGATAAAATATAAATTAAATGTTTAAGTGCAAAACAATGTGAACTCTTTACACGATTCTATAAAAAAATCTTTTTAAAAATTACAAAACATTTTAGCAAATACGAAATAATCGTTCTAAGAAAATCATTATAATCATTCCATTATTCACTCATACAACATAACAGTCGAGTAGTTGAGTAGTTCAGTGGCATGTTTGAAAATGAAATTAATCTGTACTGCAACCTTGTTCGTACATTGTACAGTTAACTAGAAATTCCTTGAAATATTTTCATATTAACCAATCACTTTTGTATTTATAATATCATATTGTCTACATCGACAATTTTGAGAATTTAAAAAATCCAATGATCGGTGATTAGTTATTTTAAAGCATCATTGATATATATATATATATATATATATATATATATATATATATATATATATATAACTTAATAATTTTTAATATCAATTTAAGTATTTTAGAAAGAAGAAACTATATACAAACTAAGTTGTTTTTGAAAAGAAATGGCATGTTTACAGGTAGAACATATCAGCATATAAGATTTACATAAGTGTCCTTAGTCAGTTTAATAAGACGATACCCACGTTGTGATTTTCTGGTCTAGTAACAAAGAACAAACATACAACTCATGTAATTTTAATTTACTCTACGGTCACTCTGATGGTATATACATATATATACTTACACAATTCATTATGCTATCTGCAAAATCAAACAACTAGGTATCAAGGAAAATATACAATGATATTTGAGAAAGATCTAGTTCTCAATAAAGAGCGATAACAAACTTTCAAAGTCAAAATCCGAGACAGGCGTCTGTTGGCCAATTTTTGTTTTTCCCCCTGATCAGATCCAAAATCAAACTGGCACAACTAGGGACCAATGAGAACCTATATATAAAATTTATTTTTTTTTCTTTCAAATTTTTAGTTGATATAATCTGTTTCACAGTCATAGAACCTGTTTGTATGCTGTCCCTTTTTACATCAATATAAATCTCAATAATTGCATCATTAAAAACATTAGTTTAGACATGTTGAGCATGATAACAACAGACTGTATCTTAAACAGTGTTCGGATCGTTAATTTAATACGTGACGCCTCTACAATTAGTCAGGTAAGTATCACCATACCTACACAAAGCTGTGCAATCCACTGAAGAAGCTAAAACCATATCATTGTGGATTCAAATATAATGGAATATGTAGTATCTGTAATGAAAGGTCACATATACATCTTTTATCTAAGTATCAGTCAAGAAGTTAATCATATACATATCTTATATATCTACAAATATACGCGGTTCACTGCATTCTCTGTGAAAACTAGAAGCACGCCAAAGGTTATATATACTTTTCGTTAAACTAGAAGCTGGGAGGTATGACTTTTACAAAGACAATCATTGTTAAGGGATATATTTAACCAAGGTCTGTAAGACAAATCAAACAAAGTTATGAATGTAAACGTGAACTAATGAAAATTATTGATTAATTAATGTAACCTCCAAGGATGTTGTCCTCTGATATAAACTATGAACTTGTAATTACATTACATCATTATTATGATGAGTTAGAAATATCTAAATGAATGCAGGGAAAACATGCTTTACATAAATACATATATGTACATATATAAGGTTAAAAAGGAAGTACGAAATCTTCCAATAACAAAACTGCATGTCACATGATATATAAGTACAGACAGTTCTATTTCATAGGGTGATGGACTGTGATGAATTTCACCGGGGTCATAGAAATAGGCTTTTAATCTTAAAAAAAAAACACAATAAATTTTCATTTCCTTCGATGCTATTTGTTCATCTTTTATTTGTAAGGGTTACAGTGATTATGAAACTACTCAACCTTGCACTGACTAGCAGATATAAATCTGTCTCAAAAGAAGAATGATACATGTGGGGTGGGTACTCAAGAAACAGAAAATGCTACCATGTTAGCATAGTCATGATCCAAACTCAAATCCCTTAAAACTAGGGCAAGGTATGAACAAAAGAAAAATTCACACGGAGACTCATGAAAAAACACAAGAATAAGACCATGCGTGTATTAGTTAAATGTATATAATGATAACGAGTCAATGTATTTACATGTTCTCTTAATTATGTTTTTGTTATCAATTATCTACGCATAAAACATATTATTTAATTTTAATATAGCTAGTCCTTTATAAACCATGTAACCATTTGGCATATTATGTTTGTAACATGTACGCCTTTTCACAACCCCAATGGGAGATGAGCCTTTACTCAATGGATTATCAACGTTAAATGAAAAGGTCCATAAACCTTAATGGTCATCTCACTATCAAAACCTGTATATGACATAACAGCAATAGTGGTGGGAAAAGGCCATCCGGATTGCGGAATCATGTTACAGACATATTGAACTTTTGACGAAAAAGCTGAAAAATGACAACACTTTCTCAAGTTTCCTTCTTTAACATCCCCACCACACCACTTTTCAGTTCAGAGGCACCAGTGGAACTCGTGAAGAGAAGAAGTTTAACATAATTTTTTCAAGATAGTGGCCCTATTCGATTTCAGATTCGTCACAAAAATAACACCTCGTGGTCAGAGAATTTAAAATGATCATTTTAGGCACGCTTTTCAGCTGAATCCCACTGTCCCCCCTTCTAAATCTCCTTCTATCGGCCACAACATGCACATTTTGCTGACAGTTCATTCATTAGATGTCGACAAGATGGACCCCTTTAACAATATTACCTAGTATCTCTTGTCCTCGGAGCGCCATTTCTTACATTCTCCTTTGGACCCAAATCATTTTTGGCACGTGTTATAGTGCTCTGTCAAATACTGAACACCGATAGATATAAAGAATTAAATTTCAAAGATAGGATCAAACTATAGTATAAACTTGTTTCCTACAAACGTTTGTCGAAATGTGTTCATATCCAATATGTGCCGCGTAATTACAATGTTATGAAGATGATAATACGTGTCCATGACACTATAGACTTGAATAACTAACATATAATTAACAATACATTGATTTAATTCTTGTCAGTGAATCAAGCACATATCATACAAATAATTATGTAAATAAGCATTATGAGATAAATATTGAAATATAAAAATTTTAGCCGACTAGAGCAATTTTCATATATGAATATATTTCAAACAACACCCAGATGGTTCCTACCATCTTGTACCGCTGGAATGATGGTTCTTTTGAACTTTTCACGGCATACATCCTGAAAATAACAACCGTAACATCATTACAAGAAATCAGTAAAACAAAATCTATTGAAATTAACAAATACATGATTACATGACAATCAATATCAAAAACCAAGAAAAACGGCAGTTTCGTAATAATAAAACGTATACAAAGTTAACAAGAGGCCCAAAGGGCCTTCAGTGCACATCTTGTATATATATACCAATCAAATATCATGTCTCTAAGCCTTTTAGTTCATGAGAAGAAGTCATTTACAGGTTTTAACAAATTTCACCTCTGTGACCTTGAATAACATGTAGTCAAAATAATTTCTTTTAGCAAACCTTGTCGGGCTTCCATCTAGGAACATACCAGCCAAATATCATACCTCTAGACCATTTAATTTATGAAAAGCAGTTGTTTAAATGTTTTAACAAAGTTGTCCCTTATGACCTAGAATATAAGTCAGAGTCATTTATTTTTGCAAAATTTGTTGGGCTTCATCATAGGAACATATAAGCCAAATATCAAGACATTTGATCCATTAGGTATTTAGAAGAATTAGTTTCGGACCAGGTGAGCGAACAAATGTTATCGAAACAATGTTGAACATTTATCACAGAATCTATTAATAGTTGTCTGATTAATGATTGAACATTATTCAATAAATCACTGCTATACAGATAAAAAAGCTATCATAAGAGAGGACAACTTGTATTACTGTAATATAAACTGACCCATCGCCTGTATTATCAATGTATGTACAACTTGTATTACTGTAATATAAATTGACCCATCGCCTATATTATCAGTGCATGTACAACTTGTATTACTGTAATATAAACTGACTCATCGCCTGTATTATCAATGTATGTACAACTTGTATTACTGTAATATAAACTGACCCATCGCCTGTATTATCAGTGTATGTACAACTAGTATTACTGTAATATAAACTGACCCATCGCCTGTATTATCAGTGTATGTACAACTAGTATTAGTGTAATATAAACTGATTCATCGCCTGTATTATCAGTGTTATCATATATAACTAGTGCAATTTATAAATAAATATCTGATATTTATTGACTAGCGAAATTTCTAAATAAATATCTGATACATATTGACTATTGAAATTTCTAAATAAATACCTGATACATACTGACTAGCGAAATTTCTAAATAAATGTCTGATATTTATTGACTAGTGAAATTTCTAAATAAGTGTCTTACATAACTAGTGCAGTTGTTGCAGTATGATGATTGTATGACAGGAGGATTAAGTTCACAAGTGTAGTGTTCTTGTTTATCGGTGGTAGTGTGATACGTACAGAGAGTGTTCTGCGGTATGTAGCAGGGATTTGGCTCAGCATCAAGATACAGAAAGGGTTTAATTACCATTACTAACAAGGATGAGTGATCCATAAAAGAATGAATGATCAAGATAACCAGACCAAACACGTGTAACCTGTCAAACATATAGGATCTAATGATATAATATTGGTACCGTTTATACCTGGTTACTTGACATATTTACCTAAGAAAACATTTATTTCTACTATGAAAACACTTAATCTGTCTGTAGCCTTTGGGCTTAATGACGATAAGGTTTTTGATATAAATCATATTCATATTTTGCTAAATACAAAATATAACATCTTACTAATTTAATAATTTTGATATTTGTTTTTAGAAATGGCATTTTATGCTTCACAATTTCTAAATGAAATAACTTATATAACTGGTGCAATTTCTTCATAAACTTATCATATATAATGAGTGCAATTTCTAAATAATATAGATTATGTAATTTATAAGATCTCTAATATTATTGATATAAAATTTGGACCGACATTGATCCTTGAATAAATGGTAAGATGACGTGTCATTGTAAATAAATAGATATACCGCTGAAGAATGAACCTATAATATCTAGACCTTATCAAGTTGGTTAACTTGTATTCTAATATTTTATTAATGTATCCGAAAGTCTAAAACCTAGAGATACAAACATTTCAGATGTCATGTGACTAAAGAACCTCACACGTGTATGTCTCTGGGTCGATATTATGACGACATCGTGACGTATTGATGTTTAATGTACAAATTGGTACTTTTAATAACATTGTATTATACATTCTCATTGCTTAGTAGTAGTGTTGAACAATAATTTACAGGGAGCCCAATATATGTCATTGGTTAACCATTTGATCCCATGCAACCTGGATTCTCATTGGACCCATACTAAACACACATTGGAATGTATATATAATAAGTAGGAATCAGTTTTGTATTTCTCCCTTATAACTGTATCAAGTTACATTGTTGGTGTCTATATCACTTAAAACATTATATAGGAAATTAATATCGCCAGATTCTACTTGTGACACATATCAGATTCACCCTACTACATTAAGAGGAGAATGGAATACTTAAAGCGTGCAATGCCATTATATTAATCATAATGGCGTATTTGTGTGTTTGCCCCGTTAATCTACAATGATAACCCATTGATAATCATGAATGCTCTTAAGCAATACTTAAAGACCAGAGTCACAAAGATTATTATGTTTTTTTGACAAAATTCTCATATTTCAAGGTTATTTTCTCAAGAATTAGAAATAGACGTGTAATGAATACGACTTTTATGTAAATGTATATCTGTACTGCACGGACATTTACTACATGTCTTACGTGTATATGATTACGTGTTGGATTCTTTCTTACAGAATCTTCCTGTCTATCATCAAAAGTATAAGTCACAGAAAAACAGACCATTTACCTGTATTCACCGAGTTGCCTTATAAATAAGACCCCGGTTGGTCAATGGCTGATTAGAGATAACCAGTTGTAAGCGACCAACTTTCAAATTGGAATCCAGTAAACACTCTTCATCATTGTATTAAATTTAAAACTTAGAGAAATCCCGTTATTGTAGTCTATTTCTACAAGAAAATTCCATTATATAAATCTCAAAGTTTTTATCCAGATAAAAAAAAAAAACGATATGTTTGCAACGGTATTCAACTGCCATATGATGTCAGATTGGCGAAGTGACGAATATCAGTACCACATGATGGCGTTGACGGCCATATTGCCATCTATGTCGCCAAACTATCTACTTCTATTAATTAGTTTATTTATCATCTTTCTTTAAAAAAATATAGATCAGACAGACTTATAGGGGCGGGCGAAACACTAACCAAATATCACTTTTATTTCACCGAGCAACTTTCCCGACATCATGAAAAAGGGGAAATCCAGTAGATGTTTAATTCATATAATTTCATTTAACGTCATTGCTAACATGAAATTTATTAATAAAAATCATTTTATTTTAACCCCAAATGTAGTATCTCGATCACTTATAAATATCAACATACCAGTTTGATTATAATTGACAGTAACATTTCATGTTGGCAACCACACTTTCGTTTACATAACGTCGAGCTGCGGTCTTGACAAACTTGACGATCGTCACGTGACAAAATTTATCCTATGAAATATATAATTTCTATCAAGGGTGATGTAAGATGACCAAGTTTGTTTACCAATTTTCTCCTATTTAAGTCCTAAAATGCCAAGAGTCCCGACTATATCAGCAGCATGATTTCAGATGTGCTTTCAACCTGACCAGTGTCAGTGGTACTTCGGACCTGAAAGTCGGAAGTCCGGGAATTCTAAAGTTGGTTTAAATAACATATGTGTTCATCCTATATCGCAATCGATTCATTACTTTTTGTTTTAAATCTAACAGAACTTGTGACAAATGACTTACTTTCAATGTTGTAGATAGTCCGAAGAGTTCTGACTATCTACCGCAGTTTTTGTTGATGTTGATCGATCGCAACGGAAAAAAAAGAAAGATAAATAAATCAGAAAATAAACCATAAAAAATCGTGGATAGTCAAAGCCCTTCACACCATGTCATAAACTATCGTCAAAGCCCTTCACACCATGTCATAAACTATCGTCAAAGCCCTTCACACCATGTCATAAACTATAAGCCCTTCAACCAGATAAAATAAAGCCCTTCACACCATGTCATAAACCATAAAAAATCGTGGATAGTCAAAGCCCTTCACACCATGTCATAAACTATCGTCAAAGCCCTTCACACCATGTCATAAACTATCGTCAAAGCCCTTCACACCATGTCATAAACTATCGTCAAAGCCCTTCACACCATGTCATAAACTATCTTTAATATAAAGCACCTCATCCTCGGTACCCCAACACTTCCCCTGGAACACTTCATGGAAACATTGAAGGTTTCATGTGCAACACCTTATGGAAAAGACGATAAGACTATATTGATAATTTGATGTACATCAAGCGAGTCACGTGTTTGAATAACGATATGTTGTAATTGTTTTGTCGTTGAGTCTTGCTCCGTAATAATCTTCAAAGGAGTGTATCAGTTTGTGATTGGTCATTTTTTTCCTCTCCTGAAGCCCACTTTAGACCAATCAAAATACTTCTATATGCCTTCTATTTAGCCATGTACTTTTCCAGGGGTGTAGAGAGCGAGAGTGATCATGATCCCTGGAGTATGGAGGGAGCGGATACAAAGAAAGCCGAGTTGATTAATCTTGATGGCAAAAAACATGCAGATTCAAGTATGATGCAATAGCTTCAGCGACCATGCAAACATAGATGTTTGTGATATGTGCATGCCCAAATCGTCCTTGAAGAAGAAAAAAATTACGAAGACATCTTTTTATGGAATTTTAGTTTACATGCATGCAAGAATGGTACGTTTTAACTAATTTTCATGTTGACCTTAACATATAACTATTTTTGTTGTCACACTGTTGACTTTTGTTCTCATTTGACAGCCTGGCATTATTTGAACAAAGATGTACATGCCCACCATATTAACACTAACATATCAGTCTTTTCTTACTTTGATTTCTCAATTTGATTCTATATATAGCATGTAAATACCTTCCCATGAACATCTGTGGAGTGTGATGCTTTATGGGTTTACATGTATGTGTAAAGCTGTCTACACTGATGTTATAGAATGATAAAG